TCAAGTGATCCTCCTGTCTCAGCCTCCCAAGTAGCTGGGATTACAGGCATGTGCCACCTGTCCAGCTACTTTTTTGTATTTTTAATAGAGACGGGGTTTCACCATACTGGCCAGGGTGGTCTCAATCTCTTGACTTCATGATCCACCCACCTCAGCCTCCCAAAGTGCTGGGATTACAGGCGAGAGCCACTGCACCCGACTCTAGTCTGCTGATTTCTAAAAGCAGGTATGATGAGGTTGGTTAGACTAAGCAGAGAGTTGACTGTTGAATAATTCAGTCCGTAACTAGCTCCCAGGTTAGCCGTGGGCCCATTTCATTAACAGAAGTGGCAATGTTGACAAGGAAAAGCAGGATTTATGTTCTGAGTGTGAACCAGAAATAAATCGTCATTGGTCTGAATAGATATTAATTCAGTTTCAAGTCAGTTATACTTTTTTTCTAGTGATATTGTCATTTTTGTTTTTGTTTTCTTTGAATGGTGCCTCTCACAGAGCCAAGAGTTGGATTAGGCATTGGTGCCTGCTGCTTGGCTCTAGAAAACAGTCCTCCGGGCATCTACATTCACAGCCTTGCTCCAGGATCAGTGGCCAAGATGGAGAGCAACCTGAGGTTTGTTGTTTGCCTGACAGTGTAAGGTTCTGGAGTGTTATAAATATGAAATACACACACCTGTGATATTTGCCCTATTACTTTCCTTTGAGGGCTGGTTCAGCTTTGAATTCTTTCCAAGAGTGTAGCCAAGACTACAATTAAGAGCATCTCCAAAAATGTAAATGCTAATATACATGAAATTTGGTTGAATTTGAGAACTCTGGATCTAGGCTTCCCTACTTATTTTGTTCTATTTGGTCTCAGAGGTCCAGTTTCAGAAACTTGACAAGATACAACTCCGCAGATATCTATGGTTAGCTCAATATTTTCTTTCATTTTATGTTCTCATATGTAATATGCCTATGAAATACTGGAACTGCTCAAATGGTTCAGAATCCACTTGATGCCAAACAGTCCTGAAATCGTCCCCTTGAACTGGAGGCATTTCTTATTACGAATTCTCTCAAACTTTTTCTGTCATTTTCATTCCTTGTTGAATGGCCATGTCTAGGTGCCTATTTTCTGAAATCACTGAGTGTCTGATTTCTTAATCCAGATAGTTGAGTTGTAACATGGGCATTTTGTTCACGTAAGAAATAATCTAGGCATTCTATTATATAGTAATTGCAGTGGGTCAGTGCCTACATAAATGTCACAAGAACGTACATGTATTGCACAAAGCACTTTGTGCAAACAGTATCATCTTTCTCCCCTGTAAACCTCTAAGTCCTTTAGTGGTTAAGGGATTGTCAAAATGACATTCGTGGAGGTTCTCATTTTGGGGCCCTGTTAATAGCTTCTGTTATGTTTTTAGTTAATCATTAGAGTAAATTTCCATATGAAAAAAAAATTTAGCAAATCATCCAAAGTACATTAAAGAAAATATACTTTTAGAACCCAAGAAAAAAATCCTTTAATGACATCCCAAGATGATATTTGTTTCTTGAATGATTCCATGTGTCTGCTGCCTGCCAAATGAACGTTCTTCAAATCCCATATAAAGAGTCTTTGTTCTGTCCTACTGACATCTCTCCCTATAATTTCCAGTCAAAATGGGCAGCTTGTCCCCAATTTCTCATTTGTTCAAATTTGAAACGTTTTTACAAATTCTTGGGTAACCTTTGAGCTTCAGCTATTTCCTCCTTCGGTTATAGTAATCATTTCAAGATGGTAGGAAGAGAGATCTGCTGGTGGTCAGGGGGCTCTGTCGTGTGATGGTTGGGAGTCAGACAGATCCGAGTTATTTCAACAGTGTGTGACATCTGGGTGACCTCTCTGCGCCTGTGTTCCTATCTGCGTAATGGAAATAACTGTACTTACTCAAAGCATTGTTTTACAGCATGCTTCGTATAGTGCGTGGCATACAGCATATGCCCAAGAAATGATAGGTTTCATTGTTGTCTTTATTAATTTTATTTGACTTGGCTATTTCTGAAAATGCCAGTAAATATGCATAATGACCTTTGCCCACTTAAAATGGAACGTGTTTATATGTATGTGTTGCATTTTTACATGTATGCCAAGGGGAAGAAAGGATGTCATGTGCTGCTTTAAAGTAAAGAAAACGTTTCATGTAATAACCTCTCCCAGAAGGAAAGGTTTTTTTAGCTTTTAAGCAGCTGGCTGCTAACACAGAGTGTGGATTCTGTTGCCCTCCCTAGCCGTGGAGATCAAATCCTGGAAGTGAACTCCGTCAACGTCCGCCATGCTGCTTTAAGCAAAGTCCACGCCATCTTGAGCAAATGCCCTCCAGGACCTGTTCGCCTTGTCATCGGCCGGCACCCTAATCCAAAGGTGAGGTGGTTCACCCTGTTCTGAGCATGGGAAGATGATATACCTTCCTAGGATATTGTATACTCTTTGATGAGGTGGTTTTCCCAGCTGGGGATAGGCAGGCAGCCTACAGCTGATTCATGTGGGAAATGAACCTTTAATCTGGATTTCATCTTCTCAGCCTTAGAAAATCTTACTAGAAAGTTTTGACAATGTTATTTAGTAAATTTGAAACTTGTCTGGTGGGAGGTAAGAATGCTGAGTCCTGAGTAGTGGCTCTTTGCATTTTTGCAGCAAGAGAATCTGAGAGGCTTGGACTGGACATCTCTATGACCATGTCAGTTTCAAAATAAGAAGGCTTTTCTTACCACATCTTTTGCCTGGCCATATGTTGGGAATTCTCTCATCTTTAAGTTTAATGCTGAGTAATTAATTTATTTTTAAAACAGTTTCAGTGAATTTTAAACTTTCTTTGATTAAGAAATGAGGGCTGGTTGTGGTGACTCACACCTGTAATCCTAGCACCTTGGGACGCCGAGGCAGGAGAATCACTTGAGCTCAGAAATTTGACACCAGCCTGGGCAACACAGTGAGACTTTGTCTCTGTTTTTTAAAAATAAAAAATATGGGCCAGGCACAGTGGCTCATGCCTGTAATCCCAGCACTCTGGGAGGCCGACGCGGGCGGATCACGAGGTCAAGAGATAGAGACCATCCTAGCCAACATGGTGAAACCTCGTCTCTACTAAAAATAATACAAAAAAGAGATGTGGTGGTGTGTGCCTGTAGTTCCAGCTACTCGGGAGGCTGAGGTAGGAGAATTGCTTGAACCAGGGAGGCAGAGGTTACAGTGAGCCAAGATAGCATCATTGCACTCTAGTCTGCTGCCTGGCGACTGAGTGAGACTCTGTCTCAAAAAATAAATAAATAATAAATAAAATTCTTGATCAGATGGTGGAAGATTAAAAAAAAAGAATAAAAATTAAAAAAAGAAATGAGAAAGTGCCATAATTAAAATAGTATAAAAATTTTTCATAATAGTTGGAAAGATAACTAGAATTAACTTAAACTCAGGTAATATACTTAATTCACTTAAACTGTTTCTGCATTTCTATAGGATTTCTAGAGTACAAAGTTGTTCAGTTTACTTTAAAAAAAAAAAATTTACTTATTTTGAGACCGAGTTTTGCTCTTGTTGTCCAGGCTACAGTGCAATGGCACAATCTCGGCTCACTGCAACCTCTGCCTTCCGGATTCAAGCGATTCCCCCGCCTCGGCCTCCTGAGTAGCTGGGATTACAGGCATGCACCGCCATGCCCGGCTGCTTTTGTATTTTTAGTAGAGACAAGTTTTCTCCATGTTGGTCAGGCTGGTCTTGCACTCCTGATCTCAGGTGATCCCCCCTGCTGCCTCAGCCTCCCAAAAAGTGCTGGGATTACAGGTGTGAGCCACCATGCCGGGCCTAAAAAAATCTTAAAATAGAGATGGAGTCTTGCTGTGTTGCCCAGGCTGGTCTCAAACTCCTGTGCTCAAACAACCCACCTGCCTCAGGCTCCCAAAATGCTAGGATCACAGGTGTGAGCCACCACGCCCCATGTTAGATACTTTTAAAGGACAAATAAATGTCTTCAGATTTGTGGAGGAATGTTTCCTTCTTAATGTTCATTTAACTGTTGAGTCAGAAAAATACCTATTTATCTTATCAAATGATTATCTTGGAATTTAAATAAGTGAAAATAAGATGAAATCTGGCTTTGCAGACCAATTGCTTATTTGCAAATGTTACTTTGTATATTTTGCTTCCATCAAAGTTGAGGGAAATAATAAAGCCCAGCATTTCAAATAAACTATAATGGAAAAGTTATTTGTTAAGTTCATTCAAAATTATGAAGGATACTATTTTTCTGTCTGATAGATCAAGTCCTCAAGACTAAAAAAAATTTTTTTTTTTTGAGAGAGGGTCTCACTCTGTCACCCAGGCTGGAGTGCAGTGGCACAGTCATGGCTCACTGCAGCCTCAACTTTCTGGGTTCCAGCGATCCTCCCACCTCAGCCTCCTGAGTAGCTGGGACGATAGGCCTGTGCCATCACGCCTGACTAATTTTTGTATTTTTAGTAGAGACAGGGTTTCACCATGTTGCCCAGGCTGGTCTCAAACTCTTGAGGTCAAGGCATCCACCCACCTTGGCCTCCCAAAGTGCTGTGATTGAATTTTTAAGTTCATCCCAGGATCATTTTCATTAACTACTCTGTGCAAACAGTGTCTCACACAATTGTTCTGGAATCTACGTAAGCACCATAAATATGTATTAAAATTCTCCTGACCATAACATTTAACATATATTCGCATTTTCCAGTACTGATTTTGCTTGCTCTGCTAAAGACACATTCTGAAAGTGGGAGTTCTTTCTTGGTTTATCTAATAGATGGCGCCATGGGAGAGAAGAGGAACCACGTGGGACCTTGAGCCAATGGGACATAGCATATCACTGCAGCTCCTTACATTTTGTCTTTGTAAAGATACCCATATAGTCTTCCATTAAGAATGAATAATAATAATAATAATAACAATTATTATTATTATTACTGAGACAGAGTCTTGCTCTGTGACCCAGGTTGGAGTGCAATGGTGTGATCTCCACTCACTGCAACCTCTGCATCTTGGGTTTAAGCAATTCTTCTGCCTCAGCCTCCCAGGTAGCTGGGATTACAGGTGTGTGCCACCACACCTGGCTAATTTTTGTATTTTTAGTAGAGATGGGGGTTTTTCACCATGTTGGTTGGCCAGATTTGTCTGGAACTCCTGACCTCAAATGATCTGCCTATCTTGGCCTCCTAAGATGCTGGGCTTACATTTTAGGAGGTGTAATCCACTGTGCCCGGCCTGAGAATGAATTATTAAATGACCTTTTCTTACTTACAAATTGTACTTGGGAGTAGAGAGGGAAGATCCTTCAAGTCTAATGTTAGCTGCTCAGCCTAACCACCAGTCCACATGAACCTGGTACTGAACAGGAGGCAGAGGCGCCAAGGAGGCCCAGGGGGTGAACTGGGGTGTGTGTGGAGGTTGTGAAGCAGGCAGGCAGGCAGGCTGCCAGGCATCGACAGAGCGACTCTCCTTCCCTGTCTCCCTCCAGCCAGGGTGATTCAGATAATCAGTTCTCATCCTATATCATATTCATTACCTGAACATTTATTGAGCTTCCACTGGGTGCCAGGCGATGTCAGGGCTACATGAATGGAATGTATCTCAAGAAATTCACAGCCTACTCTGACCCTGAAGTTCATGGGACCCTTACCAGGACATTACAAACTACACAAATTTGTGAATATATTTGCAATGGTGGATGGAATCAATAGCTTATATCAAATTCTCAGTCATTCATGACCCCAAGAACATTAACCACCTTGTTAGGGTGAGGATATTGCTGTTGTTAGACGGATGAAAGACAAGAGCCGGTTTAAAGAGTGGCTTCTCCTCTGTCTAAACCAGCTGTGCCCTGAGCAGAACACTTCTGTAACTAACGCCTAAGAGCCCACTCGCGTTTTCTCAGCACCAGTGTCACACTTGACACGTACTGAGCTTGCAGATAATCAAAATCCCTACGTTGCTGGTCTTCACTGTTACTTGCTTATATCCCCTATATTGTACAGTTGTCTTTAATTTTTTGAAGCTAACCATAGGACACTTCAGCAAGTTTGTCTCATTCAACTCAACCCAATATTTTTTGTTTTTTGACATGCATGAGAAAGGAAGGAACCAGCTCAATTCACCTTTTTTTTTTTTCTTTTTTTCTTTTTTTTTTTTTTTTTTTTTTGAGACAGAGTCTCTCTCTGTCACCCAGGCTGGAGTGCAGTGGTGCAATCTCGGCTCACTGCAACTTCCACCTCCCAGGTTCAAGTGATTCTCCTGCCCCAGCCTCCTGAGTAGCTGGGATTATAGGCAGTGCTGCCATGCTCAATTAATTTTTTGTACTTTTCTAGAGATGTGGTTTCACCATGTTGTCCAGGCTAGTCTCAAACTCCTAACTTCAAGTGATCCTCCTGCCTCGGCCTCCCAAAGCAGTGGGATTATAGGTATGAGCCACCACGCCCGGCTTCAATCCACTTTTAACACTATTTTTTGTTATTTTGAGTACTTATTGTAAAAGTCTTTTTAAATTAGCTTATCTCTTATGTTGTGATTAAGTTGTATTTAACAAAATTCAGCCTTTCCTTTCAACAACTCAAAATATTCATTAAGGGCGGGTGTGGTGGTTTACTATCTGTAATCCCAGCACTTTGGGAGGCCAAAGTGGGTGGATCACTTGAGGTCAGGAGTTTGAGACCAGCCTGGCCAACATAGCAAAACCATGTCTTTACCAAAAATACAAAAATTAGCTGAGTGTGCTGGCTTCTGCCTGTAATCCCAGGTACTTTGGAGGAGGCTGTGGCATGAGAATCACTTGAACCCAGGAGGTAGAGATTGCAGTGAGCTGAGATTGCACCACTGCACTCTAGCCTGGACAAAAGAGCAAGGCTCTGTCTTAAGTCAGTCAGTCAATCAATCAATCCAATCAGACCAACCAACTCCTGCTTCCAGCTTTTTCTGTTTTTTCCTCCTTGTCACTTCCCTTTTTTTTTCTCCTTTCTATTCTGTGGTTCTGATACCTTCACTTAAAATCTGTTCTCTTTTGTTTCACTGCTGGCTTTCTTTGCCTGATGGTTGCATCTAAAGTGGTTCTCAGCTCCTTCTGCTGGAATCTCCAATTGGATTCTACCACCCACATCCCCTCCTTTCACCTTGGGGAGCAGTCCTGTCACCTGTGGCTGCCCTAATACATCCCTCAGCAATGTTACGGAAAACAAAAGTTTTCAGTGGTTTGCAGTCATTGGCTTCAAGGCATGTCTGACTTCAAAATAACAGCATAACATGGGTCATGATTTGTTCAGCGGTGCAGTTCATCTCAGCCCCAAACCCCCTGCCTGTTTTGCCAATACAATCAAACATCCAAATGGCATTTCAGGGCAAAGCATAGACTGGTGGCTGTGATCCCATTGACCATGCAGGTTCATCTGTGTTTCTAGCCACAGTAAAACGGTCTTCTATGATAGTCTTGGAGATAGGTCCAGCAAAACCAAATGCCAGTGCTTGTTTGACTGGATTTCACGTTTCTTCCTAGGTAAACATGGTGTTCTTAGTTGTAACCTCATGCTGTATTTTTCTTTTGGTCAAGATTCCATTTTATGTTGAATGTATTTTCGTACCACTTAGCCCAGCATTTCATGCCAATAGTACATTTTGATACTGAATGTATGTGCTTGCTTAGTTTTCTTGTCGTTCCAAGAGAAATACCACAGGGTTTCTTTTCTTCTGTTTCTCATAATGTCTGGAGCAGTGGCTGCCCAGTAGGGATATTTAAGCCTTCCAGGTCTAGTCAGCCTGAGATTTGGACTTGCTGGGACAGCAGCTCCTAGCTTATGTTAAATGGAAGAAAGTAATAGAAGTCCATTTTTCTCGTAGTCAAAAAAGAATTGCAAATATTGAAAGTCGAGTATTAAGAGAAACAGCAACCACTGTTTAAGCTGATATTTTCCCTAACTCATTTATAAAAAATTATTCTTTACCGTGTGGAGGGTGGTGTTTAAGTATATATGCCTGTGTGTGTGTAGGTGTACATATTTTCCTTTCCTGTAAAGCCTACCATAAAGCATTACATAAAGGCCACAATGTCATTATGATTTACCTGTGATGTTAAAATGTAATGCTGAATTCTATATAGAAATATTTATTAAGACATTGCTGTGCTTATTCAAACATTGCTTATGCCAAATATTATTTTAATACATAAAATTACCATTTTAAGTTTTAACCCCTCTTACCTTTAAAAAATAAACTCCACATTTTCTTTTTTTTGAGATGGAGTCTTGCTCTCTCACCAGGCTGGAGTGCAGTAGTGTGATCTCAGCTCACTGCAACCTCCGCCTCCTGGGTTCAAGTGATTCTCCTGCCTTGGCCTTCCAATTAGCTGGGGTTACAGGTGCACAGCACCACACCCAACTGATTTTTGTATTTTTAGTAGAGATGAGGTTTCACCATGTTGGCCAGGCTGGTCTCGAACTCCTGACCTCATGATCCGCCTGCCTTGGCCTCTCAAAGTGCTGGGATTACAGGTGTGAGCCACCGTGCCCGACCACAACATTTTCTTACCTTTTTTTTTTTTTTTTCCCTGAGACAGAGTCTCACTGTGTTGCCCAGGACAGAGTGTAGTAGTGCAATGTCAGCTCACTGCAACCTCCGCCTACTGGGTTCAAGCAATTCTCCTGCCTCATCCTCCTGAGTTAGCTGGACTACAGGCATGCACCACCACACCCTGCTAATTTGTATTGTTAGTAGAGATGGGGTTTCACCATGTTGGTCAGGCTGGTCTCAAACTCCTGACCTCGTGATCCGCTCACCTCATCCTCCCAGAGTGCTGGGATTACAGGCATGGGCCACTGCACCTGGCCCATTTTCTTACTGTTTTAATCAATATATTTCTCTATATGTCAGGCCTTTTAAAAGAAATCCTCCCATGAATAATGACAGTTAATGGATAGCACCTGAGAAAAACATTCATGAATCTGCCTTGATACTAATAAATATAGAGGGATTAGAAAATTTAAAGAGGCACTGTTTTGAAAGCTTCATAGTAATAATTGATTTAAGCAATAATAGTCAATGATGCTAAAACCATGGGGTAAAAATATATTGGAGAGTGGGATATTTACATAGTCTCAAACTATTTCTTCACAGATTACTCATTAATGACTGAAAAAATTCCAATGGAGAAATCTGGCAGATTCTATCCTAATCAAGAGATCAAAGTTATCGCCGATTCTAAGTCCCATTGACTCTTAATGCCTCTGAATGCACTGAGAAGCAGATCATTTTTGTACTTTCCCTGTCAAAAAAAAAAATTAGTAATCTGAATCTAAGCATGAGGAAACTATCAGACAGATTCTAATTGAAGGTTTGAATTGGCCTGGTTTCTTCCCAAAGTATCAGTGCCATGAAAGACCAAGGAGGGTTCGGGAGCTGTTTCAGATTAAAGGAGACTAAAGACATTACAACAACTAGATCCTAGATTGCCAAAAAAAATTTTTTTTTTTTTGAGATGGAGTTTTGCTCTGTTGCCCAGGCTGGAATGCAGCTGTGCGATCTCAACTCACTGCAACCTCCACGTCTCGGGTTCAAGAGATTCTCCTGCCTCAGCCTCCTGAGTAGCTACAGGCACACGCCACCACGCCTGGCCAATTTTTTGTATTTTTAGTAGAGATGTGATTTCATCTTGTTGGCCAGGATGGTCTTGATCTCCTGACCTCGTGATCCACCCTCCTCAGCTTCCCAAAGTGCTGGGATTACAGGCATGAGCCACTGCTCCTGGTCCACAATTTTTTTTTTTTTTTTTTTTTTTTTTTTTTTTTACAAAGCATCACTATGCAAAGATGTTGATCCATGCCAGTCTGCCTCAGGTCTGCAGCAAGATGTACTTGCACCAAAATGTAAACACTATCACTGTGCACACTATTATATAGTTGAGCTGACATTTTTTCCTTAGCATGATGTTGATGAAGGAAGCCGTATGCTACTTTGCATTCTGTAGTAAAGTTCTTATCTCATAACAGGCTGGCATTAAACTTTCTGTGAGTCCAGTCTACAGGCACACTTTGAGTAGTACTTGTAAAGAACAGTATTAGAAAAATACTTTGATATTCAGTATTTAGTCAAACTGGAATATGAAATGTATGATACGCAATTGTGAACGTTGCATTTCCTGCATTTGATAATAGTGTCATGGTTAGTTAAAAGAATGTTTTTGTTAGGGCTGGGCGTGGTGGCTCATGTCTGTAATCCCAGCACTTTGGGAGGCCGAGGCGGGTGGATCACGAGGTCAGGAGATCGAGACCATCCTGGTCAACATGGTGAAACCCCGTCTCTACTAAAAATACAAAAAATTAGCTGGGCATGGTGGCGCGTGCCTGTAATCCCAGTTACTCAGGAGGCTGAGGCAGGAGAATTGCCTGAACCCAGGAGGCAGAGGTTGCGGTGAGCCGAGATCGCGCCATTGCACTCCAGCCTGGGTAACGAGCGAAACTCCATCTCAAAAAAAACAAAAAAGAATGTATTTGTTTCTAAAAGATGCATGCTAAAATGTTTACGGGTTAAGGGTCATGATGTATGCAATTTAGTTGCAAATGGTTTAGCAAAAAGCTGTAATTTTGTGTGTGTGTGTGTGTAGGAAAGACATGCATGTAAATGTTGCAAAATGTTAAAAATTAGTGATTCTAGGTGAAGAATATACTACTCTTGCACTACTCTTACATGTTTTATGTAGGTTTAAAATTGTTTAAAGATTTTAAAAAAAGAAAGCCTGGGTGAAATGGATTATGCCTGTAATCCCAGCACTTTGGGAGGCCAAGGTGTGTGAATCACGAGGTCAGGAGTTCAAGACCAGCCTGACCAATATGTTGAAACCCTGTCTGTACTAAAAATACAAAAATTAGCCAGGTGTGGACTAAAAATACAAAAATTCGCCAGGTGTGGACTAAAAATACAAAAATTAGCCAGGCGTGGTAGTACATGCCCATAGTCCTAGCTACTCGGGAGGCTGAGGCAGGAGAATCACTTGAACCCGGGAGGTGCAGGTTGCAGTGAGCCGAGATCATACCACTGCATTCCAGCCTGGGCAACAGAGTGAGACTCCGTCTCAAAAAATAAAATTAGAAATGAATTTTCAATAAAAAAAATAAAAAACGAAAAAAAAAAGAAGTGAGTTTTCTAGAGAGGCAAATATTAGCCCTGTTGTTGGCAATCGTAGCACTGAATGCTTTGCTTAATGAACTTGGGTACCAGTTGAAAGTCTTGTTATGTGTGTGTTGCTGGACTTCTTACATGCTCTGAGTTACTGCTTCAGAGGATGGTCATAATCTTTGGCCCTGTGGTTTGCCTCTTTAACTACACTTGACTCTAACTGTGGTCCTAGGTACTTTTACTGGGAGAAATAAATAAGTAAATGAAGCCATCTAATCTTTGCTTTCTGCTGAAAATCAGGTTTCCGAGCAGGAAATGGATGAAGTGATAGCACGCAGCACTTATCAGGAGAGCAAAGAGGCCAATTCCTCTCCTGGCTTAGGTACTGTAATCACACATTTTCATTCAGCGTTCAGAAGAGTTTCTCATTAAGTTCACCCTGACGCACTCCCCAGTGTTGTATTATTGGATTCTTTGTAATTATCAGATTTGGCAAAAGTAGCTGTCAAAGACAGTCTGTGCTTTCTCTTAGCTGCTACTTTTGATTTCTGCAGTTATTTAATGTGCTTCGTTAAAGATCTAATTATGCATGCTTCTTATACTACTTTCAAATAATTTGCAAAGGTGAGTTAGAAGCATTTCATGTGTTTGTGCTTGATTCATCTGAAATACTAAAGATGAAAGGAAAACGATAACCAAAATGTCAGTAGTTTGGTAGATGCAGAGTATTCTCTACCAAAAAGCCTGAGATTTCTTTACATGAATTTAAAAGTTTTCATTCAAAGAGGGTAATAGAGGTAGCAAAAATCTTGATTTGTCTCTTAAGCGGAAAAATTCAGATAGAGAAGGCTTGAGATAGTAGGAATTTCATATAAATTTAAAATATGAAGCATTGTATCAAGTTTTAAAAGTAATGTTTCCTTTAGCATGGAAGCCTAAAGGGACTCTTCACACATTTCAGAGTTTGGGATTATACTGATGTTCAGATTGCTACCTGGGAGGAAAAAGAACTGAGACTTAAATTATTAGTTGTCAGAGGAAAAGGAAAGCATAGGATTTTTTTTGGCAATCATGAAATACCCTGGTTATTTACATTTGTAATTAACATATTTAAAGTGGACACTGCCATCATAGGCACTTTATGCAACCAGTTCATCATCCCGACCTGCCCGAAAGCTGTGCTGTCATGATTCTAGCATTTCCACTTGATCATTTATAAAAGAGTTTATGAAGCCATAATCCTCATGCCCAAAGTTCCTTCTGCTTCATGGCATATAGTTTAAATCCTGAGCGTTTTCACCCTGCAGTTAAAAACTAAAATAGATATTCAGTCCTCTCCTCAGTTCTTTCCTGGGTTTCTTGGGTGATGTTCATTTGTTCATTCATCCTTCAATCCATTCAGCAATTTATTACCAAAAACTTAATAGATACGAAGTACAGTGTCCAGCTCCATGGGATCAGACCAGTCAACATTTTTGCTTTGTAGATTGAAGGAGAGAGAGAAGACACATCTACTCATACATGATATGATGTGTATGAAAGTTGATGTGTGGGTAGGATACAACACTGGAAATTCAGAAGAAATTTGAAGTGGGATCATTATGCAGGCAGTAGCATCTGAGATAGGGCTTGAAGCTTCCTGGCAGATGGGCTGGGTGTGAGGATTGGATACCCAGGTAGACTGCATGCATGCCTACACCTGTGCATGGAGCCCATCGCCGGCAAAGGGAGTTTTGTTGACTGTGTTTGCCCCCTCCTTTTCTAGTTTAGGATGTGAGCCTATTTGTGACTTGAGCTTTATTGTTTTGTCAATATGTGAATTTTCTCTCCAACAGGTACCCCCTTGAAGAGTCCCTCTCTTGCAAAAAAGGTGAGTCAAGGTGCACTGCTGCCTACCTCTCTGAGCTGGACCACAAGCTAGTTCCTGGAGCCCACAAGTCAAGCCTGAAGGCCCAGTCCCTGTTCCTGCCCATGAGTCGTGTTTGCCGCTTTATACATGAAATCACAACAATGCTCACTTGAGAACAGAGGCCAAAAATGTGTGTTTCTTTTGTTAAACACTTATCCAGGAAAAGAATAGAGCAACAAAATAAAATAACTAGGTTTTTTTTTGCTTTTTTTTTTTTTTTTTTTTTTTGAGATGCAGCTTAGCTCTTGTTGCCCAGGCTGGAGTGCAATGGCATGATCTCGGCCCACTGCAACCTCTGCCTCCCGGGTTCAAGTGATTCTCCTGCCTCAGCCTCCTGAGTACTGGGGACTACAGGTGCCTGCCATCACGCCTGGATAATTTTTGTATATTTGGTAGAGATGGGGTTTCACTGTGTTGGCCAGGCTGGTCTCTAACTCCTGACCTCATGATCTGCCCACCTCGGCCTCCCTAAGTACGGAGATTACAGGCGTGAGCCACAACGCCTGGCCTTACAGTTTTCAACATAACTTTTCAAACTGCTCTATAATAAAGCAGGCTGAGCCGGGACTCGGGACTTTAAGGAGGATGTGGAATCATCCTCAGCCAGGCTCTTGCGGAGTCTCAGTACATTGGGGTGCAGGATTCAGACTCCCCTGATTTTTGTTCACCACTTGGCTAGACTGGTTGGCTTGAATCACATTTGGCTTTCCCATTGCATCCCCGCAGTGTTTTTCCTGGGATGCTGGATATTCTGCTGCTGTGGCTTTTCTGATCATTGCCAAAAATTTAGCCGAAAACAACAAAAAGTCTCTAAATACGTTGTCTGGCGTCAGTCACCTTTTTATTCATTAGTTGTCAATTTTGCCGTCCTGAAGTAAATGGAAGTTGATGTTTACTATCACAGCTGTTTCAAATGGCCGTGGATTAGAACGAAGTGTTCTTGGAAAGATAAGACGTAATTACCCTTTAAAATCTGCTTCTGGTGCATTTTCTTGGTCATTGGCCGTTTCCTTCTTCAACAGGACTCCCTGATTTCTGAATCTGAACTCTCGCAGTACTTTGTTCACGATGTTCCTGGCCCCTTGTCGGACTTCATGGTGGCCGGCTCTGAGGACGAGGATCACCCAGGAAGTGGCTGCAGCACATCAGAGGATGGCAGCCTGCCTCCCAGCACCTCCAGTAAGCAGGGGCACCCCAGGGGCTGGGCTCTGCATTCCAGGCAGCAGTGACTGCTTTCCACTTCTGTGCCGGCGGCTACAGTGGTTTAACTACCCTGCTGCTGTGATAAGAGAAAAGAGCTGGAGACCAGGCTGGGCGCGGTGGCTCATGCCTGTAATCCCAGCACTTTGGGAGGCCGAGGCGGGTGGATTACCTGCGGTCAGGAGTTTGAGACCAGCCTGGCTAACATGGCGAAACTTCATCTCTACTAAAAATACAAAAATTAGCCGGGCATGCGCTTGTAATCCCAGCTACTTGAGAGGCTGAGGCAGTAGAATCGTCTGAACCCAGGAGGCGGAGGTTGCAGTGAGCTGAGGTCGCGCCATTGCACTCTAGCCCGGGTGACAAAAATGAAATTTCGTCTCAAAAAAAAAAAAAAGAACTGGAGACAATGCTGTCCCCTGAGAGTTTACTCTTGGAAAATGCAGCCACTGTTAGCGACTGGCCACTGAGTTACTCACTAAACAGGTTGGATGCATGTTCTGTAGCAGGGGTGGGTGGTGGCTAAACCAGACCTGCTTTCACTGCCATTTACATAACGTATTCTTGAATTTTATGGCATCAAATCAGGATGGGCAACCTGATGTCCTTACATTTTTACATTTTAGGGAATCCAGCCCAATTCCAGGTCCCTTCCTTCACTAGCCCTAGCTTCATTCTTTATAGGAGGCAGTGAATTAAAGATTGAGAACTGATAAGAGACATATCATCAAAAGTTTTTTTTTAATCTCATTGGTACAGCTATCCAAGATAATATGATAATCTGATGTGATTCATACCAGTTTCTCAGACTTCTTTCTGCTGGTGAGGTTTCCTGTTAATTTCTGACATCTGAAGAACATCCCCATGTTTTAGGAGAGGCAGGCAATGGTCACTCTATTTGGAGCTATTGACAAGCTTGCTCTGTTCTTATAGAAACATTTCAGGCCGGGCGCGGTGGCTCACACCTGTAATCCCAGCACTTTGGGAGGCCGAGGCGGGTGGATCACGAGGTCAGGAAATCGAGACCATCCTGGTCAACATGGTGAAACCCCGTCTCTACTAAAAATACAAAAATTAGCTGGGCATGGTGGCGCGTGCCTGTAATCCCAGCTACTCAGGAGGCTGAGGCAGGAGAATTGCCTGAACCCGGGAGGCGGAGGTTGCGGTGAGCCGAGATCGTGCCATTGCACTCCAGCCTGGGTAACAAGAGCGAAACTCCGTCTCAAAAAAAAACAATGCCGGATGTAAAAAAAAGAAACATTTCAAGGTGCAAACACATACCATTTTTTCACTACATTTAGCAAGATATAAAAACTTTGCAGATTTAGGTTGGCATTGTTCTAGAGTACCTTTGAGACATAGGACGGTTCAGGCTTTGCTGTACCGCACTACAAGCTCTCATGTGCCTGTCAATCAAGCGTCCCTTTCTGCAGATAAAGGAAAGACCTCAAGGGGCTAAGAAGGCAGCCCAGGTGTGTGGGACATTCCGTCAGTCCTCGGGAGGACTTCTACAGAGGAATTCTCAGCAGCATTTAGGTTGAACCCTAACAATGTGTTAGATATCATGGAGGTGGAAGAATTAAGCTTCTGTCTTCTGACAGCACATGTCTGAGTTAATCCATAGGTTGGCGTTTAAGAAAAAAAGGGGCTGGGTAGGTCAGTAGGGAAAAGAGAAAGGCAGGCTATCCACTCGGTATAGCCTCCAGGAAACCGTGTTGCCTAAGCTTTGTATCCAGTGGCTGGAGGTTGTGTGTCTGGTGGTTTTTGTTTGTTTTTGAGACAGAGTCTTGCTCTGTTGCCAGGCTGGAGTGCAGTGGCGCGATCACAGCTCACTGCAACCTCTGTCTCCCAGGTTAAAGCGATTTTCCTGCCTCAGCTTCCCAAGTAGCTGGAACTTCAGGTGTGCCCCACCACACCTGGCTAATTTTTGTATTTTTAGTAAAGACAGGGTTTCTCCATGTTGGCCAGGATGGTCTCGATCTCTTGACCTCATGATCCACCCACCTCGGCCTCCCAAAGTGCCGGATTACAGGCATGAGCCACTGCACCCGCCTGTATGTCTGGTGTTAGCAAATGTGGAAATGCTTACGTGTTAATGAAGGGGTCAGATGATAAGACAGGGCCAAGTGGGAAGCTCAGTTTCACTTGACTTTTCTGTGCCCACCTCCAACAGCTCACAAGGAGCCTGGAAAAGCCAGAGCCAACAGCCTTGTGACTCTTGGGAGCCAGCGGACCTCTGGGCTTTTCCACAAGCAGGTGACAGTGGCCAGACAAGCCAGTCTCCCCGGAAGCCCGCAGGCCCTCCGCAACCCTCTCCTCCGCCAGAGGAAGGTAGGCTGCTACGATGCCAACGATGCCAGTGATGAGGAAGAGTTTGACGGAGAAGGGGACTGCATTTCACTCCCAGGGGCCCTCCTGGGTCCCAGCAGGCCTCTGGCAGAGGATGACTCGAGGTGTGTCTTGATCTCTTCCAAGGGCGTGGACATCATCAACCAAGAGGAACGACCCCAGAAAACACTGGTCAGCAAAGCTGTCTCAGCGCCTCTTCTTGGCAGCTCAGTGGACTTAGAGGAGAGTGTCCCAGAGGGCATGGTGGTTGCTCCTTCCCATGCAGCCAACCTCACAGACTCTGCAGAGGCCCCGAAGGGGAGCCCTGGAAGCTGGTGGAGGAAGGAACTGCCAGGATCAAGTAGTGCACCCAAATTGGAATACACAGTCCATACAGACACCCAGAGTCCAGTGAACACTGGGAGCCCCAGTTCCCCCCAGCAGAAGAATGAAGGCCTGGCCTCCAAGCACAGACCAGTGGCCAGGGTCAGCCCGCAGTGCAAGAGATCCGAGGCTGAGGTCAGGCCCAGTGGCTCAGAGACAGTGAACCTGACTGGCAGAGCCAGTGATCCACACGACCTGGACTCGGGAGTCCAGGCCACTTGCATCAAAGTGACTGTCACTGGCTTTCGGCCAGGTGGAGCTGTGGAGAAGGTAACTGATTTTTTCTTAGGTTACTTGGTGTGGAAGTGCATGCATATGTGTGAGTGACGATGGAGTCTGTTGGAAAGCATGGGTAAGCTGCCAGTGGGAAAGGATGACGGCTGGAGAATTTTCTTCAACAGGGTCATTCACTTAAATACCTGGACTGCTTGGGAGGCTTTTTTTGTTGTTGTTGTTTTGTTTTTGAGATGGAGTCTCCCTCTATCACCCAGTGGAGTGCAGTGGCGCGATCTCAGCACACTGCAATCTGTGCCTCCCAGCTTCAAGCGATTCTCCTGTCTCAGCTTCCCAAGTAGCTGGGACTTAGGCACACACCACCATGCCCAGCTAATTGTTGTACTTTTTAGTAGAGACAGGGTTTCACCACATTGGTCAGGCTGGTCTCGAACTCCTGACCTCAGGTGATCCACTTGCTTCGGCCTCCCAAAGTGCTAGGATTACAAATGTGAGCTGAGGGAGCTTATTAATACATCAGCAGGTTGTGAGTCATGAGATAATTTGGCTAAAAGATATTATAGAATCGCTACCTTACCTGTATATAGGGCCTATGGCTGACAATGGCAAGGCAGTGTAGCACAGGGATAGTAAAACCCTGGGCCTGGCATGGGCTTCACCGCTGACTAGTTGGCACTGGTCAAGTGACAACTTGGGCAAGTTATTGAACATTTTGGAGCTTAGTTCTCTGGGCTGGTGCTCTCTGCCTTGGTCATCTCCCAGAGTTTGTGGTGGGGGAGGGCATCAAATATTTGTTAACAGTGATTCCCTCCAGCTGATAAGGTTATGAGTGATACTTATGTTTTCCCAAATTTGTACAGTGGTTATATATCATTATGGCCACTCATAACCTTGCTGTGGTATCATATGAAATAACTGGAGTGCATTCACTTAGAAATTTATAATGCACCACATTAAATGCACGTCAGTATTGTTTATGTTACTACGTGGTTACAAGTATGTTAGAATTATCAAATGGTTCATTTTTTAAATATTTCAATACACCTCTACTTCAGCAAGGAGAAAGTACGAGAAATCAATGTTGTTTATAATCTCAACATAAATAACCTCTCTGTCTCTGAGCAAAGAATCTAAGATGACTTATAAGGCCATATTTTTAAAGATGTGTGTTCAAGTGGTTTATATAAAAATATATGTAAATAGACCCAGAAAGTGTTAAGTCATAAAAACTATACCAGGCAAAAGTCTTTTTTTAAGCTTAATTTTTCATAAGTAGAAATGCACATCTTTCTTTCTCCTCCAAAATCATATTTTACCTGCAACCACTACCTGTGTTTTAAAATATAATGTTTGGCCAATGGGTAAATTCTACTTTTAAACAGTATCAGCTGGTCACAGTGGCTCATGCCTATAATCTCAGCATTTTGGGAGGCCGAGGCGGGGGGATCATCTGAGGTCAGGAGTTCAAGACCAGCCTGGTCAACATGGCAAAACCCCATCTCTACTAAAAAATACAAAAATCAGCCAGGTGTGGTGGTGTGCACCAGTAATCCCAGCTACTCGATGGGCTGAGGCAGGAGAATTGCTTGAACCCAGAAGATGGAGGTTGCACTGAGCTGAGATCGTGCCACTGCACTCCAGCCTGGGTGACAGAGCAAGACTCCATCTCAAAAAAAAAAAAGTATCAACAAGTTTTGGATAACTGTATAAAGCCAAATTAGGATTTTTATTCATAATAATTTATATTTATTAAGAGCTTTTGTAGTTCTGAATTCATACTCAGAAATTTTGAGCAGCATTTAAAACTTGTACACAAGACTAATGTTTCTCATAAAAATTTTAGTTACAAAATTTGATTTTACTTACATCTGAGAAAGAAAATAGAATGGATTGCTATAAAGTATATATCCTCAAATATTGGAAGAAAAGAACTTTCCTCTTTTGGTAAGTGGGTTATATTCTACTGTTTTTATTTACTACTTGATTTAAATTGAGGTGAAATTCATATAACATGAAATTAATCATTTTGAAATGTACAACTCAATGGCACTTAGTACATTCACAATGTAATGTGACCCACTGCCTCTGTCTAGTTCTGAAATTCCTCTACTGTTTTATGTTATATTTGTGTTATTAATAAATAGAAAATTAACTGAGTTAAACCCTGAGTAGGTTTCTCTCAGCGGGCAACTGATATTTTATGAAATGATTTCTTACCAAAGCTGCTGAAAAATACGTCATCCCTTTCACTTCTGTGCTCTGCTGCCACCTTTGGGCGACTTTATGACTCTCAATGGATAAATTTCACATGAATCTGATTGAACTATTAAAGTTTTAGAATTTCATTGCATTGGATGTTAGATAGAAGAAAGGAAGAGAAAGTAATGGACACTTAGCCAAAGTGAAGTCTTGAAATATGAAATGTCAATTTCCTGTATCCAGGTTCATTCATTCCCTCACTACCAAACTAATGAGTTAGTTTTATAGTCTTGAATATCTCTGTGCAGTATAATAACAATATCTTACATCTGTTTAGCCTTTTATGTGCTGTTTTTGTAACTGTTCTCTTTTAATCATCTTTTAAACTCTATGAGTAAGACTGAGAATGTTTTATCCTCCTCATTTTAGAGTTGAAAAAATGGAGGCTTGGGGAAGAATGATGAGCCCATTCAATTCCTAGCAGACCTTAAACCCACAGTCTGGATCTGCTGGCTTCTAGTCCAGGGCTCTTCTGACTTTTCCCAAACTAGCTCTGCTCTCTCTATATGATCTTGTCGTACGATGTGGAAAGCCTGAAATCTATTTCAACTGGCTTGTGGTTGTCATTGTGCCAGGAATCTCTGGGAAAGCTGACCACTGGAGATGCTTATGTCCCTACCGACTGTGAACTAGCCAGTGCTCTGTCCCACCCAGATGCCAGCCACCTCATAGAGAACCTGCCCAAAGCTGCACCAGAGCTGGGGCAACAACTCATGACTGGTAAGATTATTTTATCATTTGTTAAACTTAAAGATAGATCGGGAATACCCTAATAAAAGCATTATACAGGCCAGGCACAGTGGCTCATGCCTGTAATCCCAGCACTCTGGGAGGCCAAGGCGGGCGGATCACTTGAGGTCAGGAGTTTGAGACCAGGCTTGCCAACATGGTGAAACCCCATCTCTACTAAAAATACAAACATTAGCTGGGCGTGGTGGTGGGTGCCTGTAATCCCAGCTACTTGGCGGCTGAGGCAGGAGATTTGCTTGAACCGGGGAGGCAAATGATGCAGTGAGCCAAGATGGTGCCATTGCACTCCAGCCTGGGCAAAAAGAGCAAGACTCAATATTTTAAAAAAAAAAAAAAAAAAAAAAAAGCATTATATATGGATCATTTTGCAGGGAAAAATCTTTTATGCAAATTAATATGGAAATACTGCCTGCATTTAGCACCTTCACGAGATCATTGTGCCTGATTCAACTCAGAGTTTTCATGCCGGGCTGAATACATCCATTCTCAGTCAGTTGACCCTTTCTACCCTTTTGAGACACCAACAAGACGCAAGATGAATCAAAAGGATTTCCCACCCATCATAATCTCAGCACTCTGCTTATGGAAATCAAATGCACTGAGAAATGGCAGCGAAAACCTCCATCAAGGACAAGTGAAATAAAAGTGAAAAACTACACATAAGTGTTGATGAGAGATTAAGTAACATCATGAAGGCAGAAATCATCTCAGTATTTATTGAGGGGCCAGGCACAGTGGCTCGTGCCTGTAATCCCAGCACTTTGGAAGGCCAAGGCAAGAAGATTGCTTGAGGCCAGGAGTTCAAGACCAATCTGGGCAATGTAGTTAGACCGTATCCCTACTCAAAAAAGCAAATTGGCCAGGTGCAGTGGCTAATGCCTCTCATCCCAGCACTTTGGGAGTCTGAGGCAGGTGGATCAATAGGTCAGGAGTTTGAGACCAGCCAGGCCAACATGATGAAACTCCGTCTCTACTAAAAATACAAAAAAAATTAGCCAGGTATGGTGGTATGCACTTGTAATTCAAGCTATTCGAGAGGCTGAAGCTGGAGAATCGCTCAAACCCAGGAAGTGGAGGTTGCAGTGAGCCAAAATCATACCATTGCACTCTAGCCTGGGCAACAGAGCAAGATTCCATCTCCAAAAAAGAAAAAGGAAGTTAGGTGTGGTAGCATGTGCCTGTAATTGGTGGCTAAGACAGGATGGTTGCCTGAACCTAGGAGTTTGAGACTGCAGTGAGCTAGGATTATGCCACTACACTCCAGCCTGGGTGACAGATCTAGACCCTATCTCTAAGGAAAAAAAAATGTGTGTGTGTATGCGTGCGTGTGTGTGCGCGTGTGCGTCTGCGTGTGTGTGCAAGCGCATGCATGCATGTGTGTGTGTGTGTGTAGAGAGATATAAAATTTGACTACCCATCATCTAGTAGTTGTGCAAAATAATGCTGTAAAACATGATTTCTTAAAATCAAGCGGAATTAAGTGACTTTGCTTCCTTGTTAGTGGAGACCTTTATTGAAATTTTGAATTGGTCGGGCACGGTGGCTCATGCCTGTAAGCTCAGCACTTTGGGATACCAAAGTGGGCATATCACTTGAGGTCAGGAGTTCAAGACCAGCTTGGCCAAAATAGTGAAACCTCGCCTCTATGAAACATAAAAAAAATTAGCAGGTGTGGTGGCACGTGCCTGTAATCCTAGCTACTCAGGAGGTTGAGACATGAGAATTGGCTGAACCCGGAAGGCTGAGGTTGGTCCAGCTTGGGGGACAGAGTGAGACTCAAAAAAAGAGAGAAGGAAAATTCTATTCTAAATTTGCACTCTGTGGTTAGGGGACACTTTCTCAGTGGCTGGTGGTGACTGTGGTCCCACTTGTCGAGCTCTGTGGGCGTCCCGGCAGTCCTCCGCAGCTGTCAGCTGGTGGTTACTGTCACAGCACCTGCCTTCTGATTGGTTAGCAAACTACGTTGCTACGGAGAAACGAGATAGCCTCACTTGATAGGGCTGTCCTATAAAATAAAAAGGTGAAACCCCAGAATATCTACCCCATACCTGGATGGTTGCTCACAGAAAAAATACAGGCCCCTGATGTCTTTGTTCTGCTATCCGAGGCTCTTTGTTCCTCGGTCAGTGATGAGGCTGTTACCTGTACTGTGGTTTCTGATTTGTCTTTCGGGTTCAGGTTCACTTGCTGAACAAACACAAGTATTTTTTGGTTAGCAATTTGACTTTACTGCAAAGTGCATTAAAAAGGGTTTTATTTGAGGGAGATGAAGTTACATTGAGGCAGTCTTCAGTGTCACCTTTCAAAGTAAGGCTCCATTTGAGGCCAGCATCTTCATACATTTGAAGAGTGCTTGCTCTACATAATGGGCCTCCGGGAGTTTTCTTGGAATCCAGATTTGCTTTGGAATGGAAGAGGGACAGCACAGGGTTGGTTTTTGTTCACTAAGACCAATGTTTCCTGTTTGCAACCTCATGCAGAAAATTCTTTCCTTTCTTGCCTCTGAGGAATTTCTTATTCTAGGTAGGCCAGGTTTTGTCAATACTGCGAGGTTCATCAATGACAGAAAATGTGGTACATGTGCCAGGCGTGGTGGCTTACGCCTGTAATCCCAGCACTTTGGAAGGCCGAGGCAGGTGGATCACCTGAGGTCAGGAGCTCAAGATATCCTAGCCAACATGGTAAAACCCCATCTCTAAAGTTAGCTGGTTGTGGTGGCGAGCACCTGTAGCCCCAGCTATTCAGGAGGCTGAGGCAGGAGAATCGATTGAACCTGGGAGGCGGAGGTTGCAGTAAGCTGAGATTGCACCAGTGCATTCCAGCCTGTGTGCCAAAGTGAGACTCTGTCTCAAAGAAAGAAAGAAAATATGGCACATACCCACCATGGAATACTATGCAGCCATAAAAAGAAATGAGATCCTGTCCTTTGCAGGGACAAGGATGGAGCTGGAAGCCATTCTCCTCAGCAAACTAACAGAGGAACAGAAAACCAAACACTGCATGTTCTTACTTATAAGTGGAAGCTAAACAATGAGAACACATGGCCACAGGGAAAGGAACAACACACACTGGAGCCTGTTGGGAGTGAGGTAGTGGGGGAAGGGAGAGCATCAGGATAAATAGCAAATGCATGCCAGGCTTAATACCTAGGTGATGGGTTGATAGGTACAGCAAACCACCATGGCACACATTTACCTATGCAACAAACCTGCGCATCCTGCACGTGTGTCTTAGAACTTAAAAAATATATATATACTGAGGGTTTATACCTTAAGTAAGTGGGTTTCTACCTTAAGTAAGTGGGTTTCTGCATGTAAGTTTCTCTTGTGTTCTAGTTAGTGTGGAGATAATTTCATCTCCCAGCCTGTGCTCCCTGGAGCTTTGTGCACCTCTGTGACTGTACTGACCCCAGTGGGTGCTGGTGGGTGCTTTTCTGCCTTGCCTTCTCTGGATTTCCCGCAGATAATGAGCCTTGAGAAAGGTGCAACTGTGTGTCCCTTACACCCACTCAGCAGCCAGGGAGTGCTAGACCAGGAATTGATTATACTTAACAGGTAATAATAGATGAGCTGTATTTAATTAGCATGTTGAAACATAATGTATTAGTTACCATTTAATTCTTTAAGGGTCATCAGAATTGATGGCGTTACAGTGACACACTGGTGCCCTCTAGGGCTTTTGAGATGTATCTGAAATATTCAATTACCTGATCTTTAAGAGTTTACAGCTTCTGTCTCCTTTTTGGAGACAGACTATTTGGTAGATATTTCTCTCTCTATCCCAATAAAAGGCTGTCTGTGACCAGTTGGTCCTGCTGAGTACTTGAGTGCTGGTAGCAGCTCTTCTTCCAATGTTGTTAGAAATAGCTACTTTCCAATATGTAAGAAGGATGTTCTTCAAAACATATCTTTTTTTTTTTCCCTTGAGACAGAGTCTTCCTCTTTCACTGAGGCTGGAGTGCAGTGGCGCAATCTCAGCTCACTGCAACCTCTGCCTCCAGTGTTCAAGCGATTCTCCTGCCACAGCCTCCTGAGTAGCTGGGATTACAGGCGCCTGCCACCATGCCCGGCCAATCTTCGTGTGTGTGTGTGTGTGTGTGTGTGTGTGTGCATTTTTTTTTTTTAAGGTGGAGTCTTGCTGTTGTTGCCAGGCTGGTCCCGAACTCCTGACCTCAAGTGATCTGCCCACCTCGGCCTCCCAAAGTGCAAAACATATCTTTTTAAATTGAAATATCCAAAAATGCATAAGTGATAAAAAAAAAAGAATACCTTATCATTAAAGAAAAAAAATCCAACCTGAGGAAGCTGAAAAAAAAAAAACAACAAAAAAAAGGAAAATCCTCTTTAATATTCCAAAATGACCCATACACCACACGGTGGTTAAGCACACGGGTGCACACACAGGCTGCCGGGGCTCAGATCTGAGCTCCAACATCTGACCAGGGAAGGGACCTTGGATTTGTCACTGTTGTCCTAAGTTACTCACCTCATGGGGTTGTTGAGGAAGAATCAGTGACATTTTCATGTGTAGTATTTGGAAGACAATTCACTACCTAATATGTTGAATAACTTATATTATGTGTGTATGTGATTTTCCTTAGAGAAACACATATGCATGTCTATATTTTCCTAGTTTATAATACGCATTCAGTAAGATGTGTGTGTGTGTGTATATATATGTGTGTGTGTGTGTATACCTACACACATGATTTTCCTAAGAAAGTTTTAGAAAGGAATACAAATCGACTTGCTGTTTACACAGGAACAAATGGCCGACCAAGACGTGTTGACTGTGAGGTCTGATTTTTACAGCCTGTTCAGCTTCCTGGCAGCAACTGACTCTGTCTGTTAAAGGGTGGCTCTTGGAAACCAGGACGAGAGGAGGTGGGAGCTGTTGGAAAAGCTGTCAAAGCTGTTGTGAGAGACTGAAGCAGTGTGGGGAATCCAGGGCCCTTGTTTGTCACTAAATGTTTCACTCTGTTATGAAAGGGATACACGTTTATTCTAGAAATGTAAGAAACTGTAAGTGAGAGCAAAGTTTTGAAAGATGGCATAAAAATCACCTAAGCCCAAGAGAAAACCTCTATTAACATTTTGGCCTGTATTATTTGAGTCTTGCGTGTATATGAGTGTATAGAATAAGTACATCAGTCCTGTGGTTTTTTAAATCTTTTTGCCAAAAAAAAAAAAAAAAAGACTGTGGTTGGTAGTCACCAGTAAGTACCTAACAACCTTTTTAAACTCATACATCCACAGAAAATAATATTTGAGCAGCCTGCTGGGGTCAGCGAGACTGCTGCTCAGCCCGTGTGCCTGCCCTAGCAGACTGTCCCTTGCATTGACAATGATGGTGTCAGCACACCTGTAGCCTGCTCTAGGAAACCACACAGCAATCCTGCAGGCCCTTCCACACCCAGCATCATGTGGAGAGGCTGCTGGGCCTTCCAGCCCACAGATGTGCCATAACGGAGTCAACTTACCTCCTATGACTGGGCATTTTGAAGGTGTTTCCAGAGGAAAGGTGGTTTTGAAAGGTGACAACCAAAGGCTGCCTCAGTGTGACCTCATCTCCCTTAAATAAAGGCGTTTTAAGTTACAGACTTTGCAATAAAGTCCAATTGCTAACATGAATTGCCTGTTCAGGTTTATTCAGTGAACAAATAGGAATTTTATTTATTTGTTTATTTATTTTTAAGATGGAGTCTCCCTCTGTCACCAGGCCGGAGTGCAGTGGCTCGATCTCAGCTCACTACAACCTCTGCCTCCCAGGTTGAGGCGATTCTCATGCCTCGGCCTCCCAAGCGGCTGGGATTACAGGCGTGCACCATCACACCAGGCTAATTTTTGTGTTTTTAGTAGAGATGGGATTTCATCATGTTGGCCAGGCCGGTTTCGAACTCCTGACCTCAAGTGATCCGCCTGCCCCAGCTGATTACAGGCATGAGCCACCGCCCCCGGCCTGAATACGAAATTTAAAAACAGACTTTAAATTCCCTCCTTTTGTGTCATTGCTACTGCCCCCAGTCCCCTGCCACCACTCATATTTGGTATCAGCAGAAGGAGGACCATTATGCTTAAGGGGGAGTTCAAAAAAGATTGAGCAGAGAAGGAAAAGAGCACGTGGGTTTGAGTCTTGGCAGGCCCCTGGCCTTCTGCAGGGGGCTGGAAAGCAGGTACAGTCTCCATGGGGATGGGGGTGTCTCGATGATCCAACCTTGTTATGGCCAAGGGCTCTCCACGCAGAGGCCAGAAAGTCAGGGTTTAGGCAGAAGCATTCACTGTGGAACAGGCTTCCTGGGGCAACCGCTGGCCCTGCCACCTGTGAACTCTGTGACCTCAGACACACTGCTTAACCATGCTGTTCCTGTGTCCTCATCCTTCTGATGCAGATGGTCACAGGACATACCTCAATGTCAGGAGGAAAATTAAACGTATGCAAAACTCAGCACAGTGGTAGTTCCTTAATTATTGGAAAATCTCTTAGCACAGTGCTGAGTCCTAATAATTAGTTTTTAATTATTCACATAGCAACTTCGGGAGGTAAAAAAAAAAAATCAGATAAGATGATTTAATGTGAGAGATGTGAAAGGAACATAATATTTGGGGTAGAGTGGGTTTGACTTCTCAAACCACGAGCTTTCATGGAACTTCATTTTTCAATCCAACCTCAGACCCATCGTTCCTAAGAAAATAGCTTTGTTCTTTTTGATGCCAGATTTTTTTCCCTCTTGGAGATGCTGTGTGTCTGAGGTGGAAGATTAGCCCAAAACTATGCAGGGCCTTACAAAAAGGCACTTTCAGGAGTGAGTGGCTCTTGGAACCCACCTTTTAGATGACTTCCCACTGTCTGCTGGCACACAACCCTTGCCCTGCCACCTCCAAGATTTTTTTTTTTTTTTTTTCTTGAGACAGAGTTTCGCTCTTGTTACCCAGGCTGGAGTGCAATGGCGCGATCTCGGCTCACCGCAACCTCCGCCTCCTGGGTTCAGGCAATTCTCCTGCCTCAGCCTCCTGAGTAGCTGGGATTACAGGCACGTGCCATCATGCCCAGCTAATTTTTTGTATTTTTAGTAGAGACGGGGTTTCACCATGTTGACCAGGATGGTCTCGATCTCTTGACCTCATGATCCACCCGCGTCGGCCTCCCAAAGCGCTGGGATTACAGGCGTGAGCCACCGCGCCCAGCCCCCACCTCCAAGATTTCATGGTCTTTCTTGCCTCTCTGCTTTTCATTCTGTTGCTTTTATTTATTTATTTATTTTTTTGAGATGGAGTCTTCCTCACCTTCCTCCTCCTCACTCTCTGGCCGAACTCCCCTTGTCAACCCCACTCAAGCACCCACCTCCTCTGTGAAGGCTTCTCAGGGTAATCTGGCTTCTCCCACTCCTCTGAATTCATCAAGACAGCCAAAGCTCCATGTAGACCTGCATCCTGGCTTTTGTGTTCTGTGTGTTTTCCCCAGTTAGCCTCATCCCTGCACTAAAAAGGAAGCCTCTTGAGTTCAGCACTTAAGACTGTTTTACAGTGAGGTACATCATTCACATCCCCCAGTGTGAGCCAGACCCACACACGATTGGCCATAGAGAGAGCCATGAGGGCCCTGCGGCATCGGTACAGAAGGGTAGGGAACCAGCTAGAACAGCAGCTCACGTCTGTGGCTTTGCCATCAGAGGCTGAATGGTGTAGAGAGACCAAGCGAGGGATATCTGGTGTCTGCCGTCATAGAAATAACCAAAAGAGAGAAAAATGGGCAGATGCAAACGTTTCTTCTGCTGGCTAGTCTGACTTCTCTTACAGCATCTAAAGCGGGGTGTTTTTTGTTAGATGTGAGTACTCCATGATTTTAGAGACAAAACGAGAAAGACAAGAAGGGCCTCCATTCAGGCTACAGAATGCCTTTATTTTAGTATTTTTTTCTTTTTGAGACAGGGTTTCTCTCTTTCTGCCCAGGCTGGAGTGCAATGGGGCGATCTTGGCTCACTGCAAGCTCCACCTCCTGGGTTCAAGCGATTCCCCTGCCTCAGCCTCCTAAGTAGCTGGGATTATAGGCATCCACCACCATACCACCATACCTGGCTAATTTTTTTGCGATGTATTATTTTACCTTTTTTTTTTTTTGTGGAGGCAAGATTTCACCATGTTGGCCAGGCTGGTTTCAAACTCCTGACCTCGAGTGCTGCCCACCTCAGCCTCCCAAAGTGCTGGGATTACAGGCGTGAGCCACCCCCTGCCTGGCTTTCTGAAAAAGAAGAAAATATTTGAGATAGTTTCCAGTTTTTAACAATTGAGAGGCTGCTTTCTCATATTTTCCCTTTTATCTCCTCTACAACGTCTCTTGTGAACCTTCTGTTTACATTCTCTACACAGGACTGGACAGCAGCTCAGACCTCATCCCTTCCCCAGGGAAGAAGGGGGCCACTCATCCTGACCCCGGCAAGACCTCTGTAGACACAGGGCGAGTCAGTCGGCCCGAGACCCCCAGCCAGCCTGCATTGCCCAGGGTCTCCGAGCGCAAGGCCAGGTCTCCAGTCAGGCTCCCCCATGAGGGCAGCCACTCCCAGGGGGAGAAGGCAGCAGCTCCCACCGACTGCAGTAAGACCCGATCAGCATCAGAAGCCAGCACACCTCTCAATATCATGAGGGTGGCTGCCCTGAGGGGAGCGGGGCCCGGGGCAGACGGAGCGACACCAGCTGGTGCTGTCCTGCCACGAGACTGCCTCGCATCCCAGGAGCAGAGACAAGGAGCTCCAGGGAACCACAGCAAGGCTTTGGAAATGACAGGAACCCACACACCTGAGAGCTCCTGGGAGCCTTCCCTGTTGGAGGGAACAGATTCTGTGTCCTCAAGGGCACCTCAGGCCAGCCTCTCCCTGCTGCCATCCACTGACAACACCAAAGAAGCATGTGGCAGTGTCGCAGGGCACTGCTGCCCATCGGGGAGTAGAGAGAGCCCTGTGACGGACATTGACAGCTTCATTAAGGAGCTGGATGCTTCTGCAGTGAAGTCTCCGTCTTCCCAGATGGGGGACAGTAGCTGTCAGGAGGGCAGCGCTCAAGGCCACCCGCCAGCCAGGGCTGGAGGTGGGAGCTCCCGCCGTGCTGAACCAGTCCCGGGGGGTCAGACCTCCTCCCCGAGGAGGACCTGGGCTGCTGGTGCTCCCCCTCACCCACAGTGGACCTCCCAGCCTTCGGTTTTAGATTCCATTAATCCTGACAAACATTTTACTGTGAACAAAAACTTCCTGAGCAACTACTCTAGAAATTTTAGCAGTTTTCATGAAGACAGCACCTCCCTATCAGGCCTGGGCGACAGCACGGAGCCATCTCTGTCATCCATGTATGGCGATGCTGAGGATTCGTCTTCTGAACCTGAGTCACTCACTGAACCCCCACGAGCCTCCACCAGGGACAGCTGGTCCCCTCCTCGTTCCCAGGGGTCTTTGCACAAGGAAGATCCTTTGGAGTCAGAGGAGGAGCAGATTGAAATTTGTTCCACAAATGGCTGCCCCGATCCACCCTCAAGTCCTGCTCATCTTCCCAGCCAGGCTGCCATCTGTCCTGCCCCGGCCAATGTTCTGCCATTAAAATATGGCACTCTGAGCGGGTCAGTGGCTGGTCCCCGTGAGAAGGCCGCTGGCCTGCCAGACTCATGCAGTCCAGGCCCAAACTCTTCCCAGCCGTCTTCACTCTTGGATATGAGCTCTCAGGAGCCTGAAACTCAAGCGGACTTAAGCACTTCCCAGAACCACAGGCCCTTGTGTGCAGAAGAAACTACGGAAGTCACCAGCGCTAGCTCAGCCATGGAAAAGAGTCAGACTTCTAAAGTGGCTAGGCATTTTCACAGCCCACCCATCATTCTTCGCTCCCCTCACATGGTAAATGGTTTGGAACATGACCTGCTAGATGACCAAACGCTGAATAAATACGAAACAAACCTTACTGTGGCTGCAAATCTGTCCTTAAGTGTGGACGTCCCTAAGAATGGAGAATCTGTATTGGAAAACCTACACATCTCTGAAAGTCAAGACCTGGATGACTTGCTACAGAAACCAAAAGTGATCACCAGGAGGCCCATCATGGCCTGGTTTAAAGAAATAAACAAGCATAACCAAGGCACCCATTTGCAGAGCAAAACCGAGAAGGAGCACTCCCTGATGCCTGCCGGAAGTCCCCACTCCAAGATTCAGATGGCAAGTTCAAGCCAAAAAAAAAAGGGTGTTGCTATGCCCCATAGCCCTCCGCCGCCCAAAACAAATCTGGAAAATAAGGACCCGTCTAAGAAGAGTCCAGCGGAAATGATTCTGACTAATGGTCAGAAGCCAAAGTGTGGTCCAAAGCTGAAGAGGCTCAGCCTCAAGGGCAAGGCCAAAGTCAGCTACGAGGTTCCTGGTGCAAATGCCGTGAAGGCCGGGGGGTTGGACCACAGGAAACCCTTGATCTCACCCCAGACCTCCCACAAAACACTCTCTAAGGTGGTATCACAGCGGCTCCACGTAGCGGAGTGCGAGGAGCCCGACAGAAACCCCACAGCCCCTGCCAGACCCCCCCAGGGTGTACTGGAGACCAAGCCACCTCTTGCCACCTCCGGGCCACTGAAGCCCTCGGTGTCTGACACGAGCATCAGGACATTCGTCTCGCCCCTGACCTTCCCCAAGTCTCTTCCGGAGCAAGGCACGTGGAGCAGGTTCCACGTGGCTGTCCTCTCCGAGCCTGACAGAGGTAGCCCAGCCCCCCCTAAGTCTCCTAAGTGTGGAGCGGACGGCAAGGTGCCCCGGGCTGACTCTGGGCGGGCGAGTCCTGCGGCATCCAGGAACAGTGTGTCCGTGGTAGGGAACAGACAGAGCGAGCAGTGCCTGACCAGCCATGTAGATTCGGCGGCAGGCATAGCCCAACCCAGGCTGACAGGCGAAAAAGGAGGCAGCATCATGGCCAGAGATCGCCTCGAAATAACAAACCAGCTGAGAATTGTGGAGATTTCTGCTGAAGCGGTGCCAAGGACTGCATGTGGAAACAAGCCAGGTGAAAGTGACAGATGGGGAGGGTCCTCGGCCCAGGGCAACTGTCAGGAGAAGAGTGAAATCAGCCTGTGTCACCCGATCGTGGAATCGTCCACAAGTCATCTGTCCTCAGTCCCGTCTCATGCCTCCCAGGTGGAGCAGGAAATGCCAGGATCATTTAGCATGGCCAAGCTGGCGTCCTCCTCCTCCTCCCCTCAACTGCCCGTTAGAAAGGCAGATTCCTCACAGGGAAAGTCAAGTCTGATGTCAGACTCCCTAGGGGTGCCCAGAAACGGCACTCCAGGGGGTCCCTCGGGGAAGGACCATCCCTATTTCACCCCAAGGCCAGCGACCCGGACCTACTCCATGCCAGCCCAGTTCTCAAGCCATTTTGGGCGGGAGGCTCACTCCCCATACAGCCTGGGTCGCTCTCCTCGGGACAGCCAGGTCCCTGTGACAAGCAGTAATGTCACCGAGGCAAAGGCATCCAGGGCGGGTCCTCCTGGCCTGGCTACCGGACAGGGCATATATAGTGTCAAGCCGCTGGTGGAATCATTGAGGAATCTTCCAGCCACAGATGAAGGGGATCTCATTTCAGTCCAGGAGACGAGCCGCCTAGTCACAGACAAAATCAAAGTCACCAGAAGACACTACTGCTATGAGCAGAACTGGCCCCACGAATCTACCTCATTTTTCTCTGTGAAGCAGCGGATCAAGTCTTTCGAGAACCTGGCCAATGCTGACCGGCCGGTAGCCAAGTCTGGGGCTTCCCCGTTTTTGTCAGTGAGCTCCAAGCCTCCCATCGGGAGGCGGTCTTCCGGCAGCATTGTTTCAGGGAGCCCAGGCCACCCAGGTGATGCCGCTGTGAGGTTGTTGAGACGCAGCTTGAGTTCCTGCAGCGAAAGCCAAAGTGAAGCTGGTGTCCTCCTCCCCCAGATGGCCAAGTCTCCCTCGAGCATGACACTGACCATCTCCCGGCAGAACCCTCCAGAGACCAGTACCAAGGGCTCTGATTCGGACCTTAAGAAATCACTTGGTTCTTTGGGAATCCCCACCCCAGTGATGACCCCAGCCTCTCCCGTTAAGAGGAACAAGTCCTCGGTGCGTCACGTGCAGCCCTCGCCCGTGTCCCGCTCCAAGCTCCAGGAGCTGAGAGCCTTGAGCATGCCTGACCTTGACAAGCTCTGCAGCGAGGATTACTCGGCGGGCCCAAACACCGTGCTCTTCAAAACCGAGCTGGAGATCACCCCCAGGAGGTCACCAAGCTCCCCTGCTGGAGGCATTTCGGGTCCCGAGAAGGGCGGGAACAGGGCCTGTCCAGGAGGAAGTGGCCCTAAAACCAGTGCTTCTGAGACACCCAGTTCAGCCAGTGATGTGGGCGAAATTGCTCAGGATCTGCCTTTTAGGAAAAGCTGGTCAGTTAAGTAAGTATCTGCTCCCAACTTTTATCTCAGATAAACTTGTTTTGTTTTGGAATCGTTTCATATTTATAGAAAAGTTACAGAGATAATGCAGAGTTCCCACTTACTTCTTACCCACTCTTCCTGATGTTCACATCTCTCATACCACAGTCCGTGGGTCAAAAGTTAGAAATTAATGTTAATTTCTTACTTTAACAGAATAATACCATTCGCTAAACTACAGACTTTTTCCTTCAGATTTTGCTGAATAAATTCTGCTAATATCCTTTTTCTGTTCCAGGATCCGGGATCCCACATTGCATTTTAGCCCCTTGGTTTGCAGGGAAATGTGTTTACCAAAGAGTTGCTCTGCGGAGAGGCTGCTAAAGGACACGGCACTTAAGCAAAAGCAACATAAGAGGGGTGTGGGGGGAAGAGAGAGTGCAGCGCAGGGGGGACTTTGGGCCTTTGCAGGTGGCTGGAGTTAAAATGGAGAATTTCTAACATATTTTTAAATATTTCACTTGAGGCCAGGCATGGTGACTCACACCTGTAATCCCAGCAGTTTGGGAGGCTGAGGTGGGCAGATCACTTGAGGTGAGGAGTTCAAAACCAGCCTGGCCAACATGGTGAGACCCTGTCTCTACTGAAAATACAAAAATTGGCTGGACGTGGTGGCAGGTGCCTGTTATCCCAGCTACTCAGGAGGCTGAGGCAGGAGAATCGCTTGAAACCGCAAGATGAAGGTTGCAGTGAGCTGAGATTGCACCACTGCACTCCAACCTGGGCAACAGAGCTGGACTCCATCTCAAAAACAATAGAAATTTAAAAATTCACTTGAACCTATGTATTGAATATTTTTAAATATGTCAGAAGTGTCCAATTAAGCTCTGGCATGGGTCCCACAACTTCTTTGGGGATCTCTGAATTCATAGCAATTCCCCTTCCCATTGGCAGTGAATGACATTCCGGTTCAGCACTCAGGATTTATTCTTCCATTAGTTTGGAAGTTGTGACCAAAAGAGAGTATGATGATCAGAAAATACCTGCAATATAGTAGAATGGAGATCATTTTAAATGCATCCTTATAAAATGAAGAAATTGCTTTTTTCTTTAGTGTTCTTTAAATATGTTTATGTTATTTAGTTTGGATCAACTTCTGGTCTCTGCGGGGGACCAGCAAAGATTACAGACTGTTTTATCGTCAGTGGGGTCGAAGTCTACCATCCTAACTCTCATTCAGGAAGCGAAAGCACAATCAGAGGTGAGTGAAACACAGAAAGCTCTGGAACATGAACTGCGGCCACGTGAGTGCCCAGGTGTATGTCCCCCACCCCAAGTCCTGGAGAAGGAAGACTGCTTTGGGTTGCGAGTTTCACAGCTCAGTCTGACTTGGGCCTCACATGCCACTAGCCAGCTTCAGAAGCTAGACTTTACCATGGATGTCCAGGTGCCAGATGGGTGTCACTGCTGTTTTAATCCCCCAGTAGCAACTAGTTACCATTCTCCCAACTCCTACGTTTGGGGTTTGTTCGCAGAGAGTCCTCAAAGCAGAGCTAGGCATCTCGGAAGTATTGCAGAATGACCTCAAGTACCTCTGTCCACCTAATTGTGGATGTAAACTAGTCAAGGGAGCCCCCTGCTGGTGAGAGAAGAGTTACATTGCTGTAGTCCTGCCCTTTTCCTGAAATAACATGAAGGTAGGGGCACTGACCTTGCAGTCGAAAATCTGCGTATAAGTTTTAACTCCCTATAGAACTTAACTACTAACAACCTACTGTTGACTGGAAGCCTTACTGATAACATAAACAGTCAATTAACATATCATATACTGTCAGTATATCATATATATCGTATCATATCATATATACTGTCAGTATATCATATACTGACTTCTTACAACAACGTAAGTTAGAGATAATAGAATGTTATTAAGAAAATCCTAAGAGGCCAGGTGCAGTGGCTCACACCTGTGATCTCTTTGGGAGGCTGAGGTGGGCAGATCACTTGAGGTCAGGAGTTCAAAACCAGCCTGGCCAAGATGGTGAAACCCTGTCTTTACTAAAAATACAAAAATTAGCTGGGCATGGTGGTGGGTAGTAGGTACTACAGGTACATGCCTGTACTCCCAGCTACTCAGGAGGCTAAGGCAAGAGGATTGCTTGAACTTGGGAGGCGGAGGTTGCTGTGATCTGAGATTGCACCACTGCACTTCAGCCTGGGCGGCAGGCTTCCTTCACTAATATATGTTCACAGTTAGGTTATTTTATTTTTTTTTTAATTGAAAAAAGAACTGCACACACACAGAAAAAGATTAAATTTAAAAAGTTAGCCAGGAGTGATTTTTTTTTTCAATTAAGAGAGTATGATTTTTAATTGAAAAAAATAAGAGAGTATATTTACTATTTATTAAGTGGAAACAGCTCGTGATAAAGGGCTTCATCCTCATCTTCACATTGAGTAGGCTGAGAAGGGGGGAGGGTTGGTCTTGCTGTCTCAAGGATGACAGAGGCAGAAGAAACCCCCAGTGTGAGTGGACCTGTGCAGTTTGAGCCCATATTGTTCAAAGGTCACCTGTAGAAGAGCATCTGAACCCTGGAGTACAAGGAATTATAAATAAAATCTTTCAGTAAATCAGTTATGACAGTAAACACTGACAGAAGAAACCACAGGTTCACGTCTAAGATACTAATCTGAAGATTAATTTCTCGGGCTCTATATAGAGATTTGAACCTTAATAAATGAATATTTTCTATTTAGAGAAATAAATATGAAAAATGTTTCTTTAATGGTAGTATACCTGGGTCACTAAGTCATCTAAGAATGCTGTTCCATAAATTCAGATATTACCCAGAGGGGCTGTGTGGTTTCTCAGCCAATGACCAGCCTTGACACCTAGTAAGGAATTGGCTGGGAGGTAAGGAGAGAGGTTGGAATAAAGGAGACCATTCCCTTCAGCTTCCACTTCCTTCTGATTCTCAGCCGCTGGTTTGGGTCTGTGCAGTTAAAAAAATGCCTTGACAGGAGGATCATTTGAGGCCAGGAGTTTGAGACCAGCCTCGTCAACACAGTGAGACCCCTGTGTCAACAACAACAACAAAGATTAAAAATTTAGCCAGGTTCGGTGGCATATGCCTTTAGTCCTAGCTTCGTGGGAGTCTGAAGCAGGAGAATCACCTGGGCCCAGTAGTTTGAGGCTCAGTGAGCTATGATCGCGCCACCGCACTCCAGCCAGGGTGACAGAGCAAGACCCTCTCTCTAGAATAAAAACAAAACGCCTTGAGATGCTAAGCACTTTCGATTTCAGTAAAAGAGGATAGCCCCTTGTCTCCCTTCCACCTCCCACTTGTTATTACGATAAGGAAGGGGTTTCACATGTGAAAGTCTCACTCTGAGACCACCAGTCAGCGGGGCACAGGTGGGGTCACACTTTGCCAGGCCCCCTTTGCTCCAGAAATTTTACAGTGTGAAATGAAATGTCACAGGAGAAGACCAGACTGTCCAACCAACCACGAGCAAGATGTACATCTTCAGGGACCTCAAGGCACTGTGGATGGCATGCCGAGCGTGCCCTTGGGGGCACATTCTGGGGCCTCCCTCACCTCCCTCCTCACGTTCGCCACGAGGCAGGGGATGTGGTTTGGTGTGAAGATCATTCCTACTTTCATCAGAACCCAGCATTCTTTTCCCTTTCTTATTTGCTCACTGTCTTCAGAGGAGCAGTGAGCAAGGCTTCCTCTGCCATCTTCAGTCTAGAAGCTTCCTGCCTTGCTTTTCCCAAGGAGTATGGTTTGCAGGTACTAAGAATAGAACTGCACAAAACTATTTTCTGTGGCCTTGGCAGTGCTGTGAGAGATTAGAGGCTGAAAACAAACCCTGATCTCCTGCCTTCAACTCACCCAAGCCTTGGAGAGCTCCTGATAGTTGATCTGGCCGCCCTGAGACTGCACTGAGGCTCTCAGAGGCAAAATTTGGCCTGATGATCAGCTTCTAGCATATCTATATCTTTAAATACTGCTGCAAAAAATGTGAATACATTGAAAATTTTGTGATTTAACTTGTCCTGGAATGCAGGAGGGCCTCATTTTCAAATATTGTCTCTTTGCTCCAGTAAGACATTTAATATCTGAGAAGTGGGCTGGGTGTGGTGGCTCACGACTGTAATCCCAGCACTTTGGAAGGCCAAGGCGGGCCACTCATGAGGTCAGGAGTTCAAGAGGCTGGCCAACATGGTGAAACACTGTCTCTACTAAAAATACAAAAAATTATCTGGGTGTGGTGGTGTGCGCCTGTAATTCCAACTACTCGGGAGGCTGAGGCAGGAGAATCATGTGAACCTGGGAGGTGGAGGTTGCAGTGGGCCAGCATCGTGCCATTGTACTCCTGCCTGGGCGACAGTGCGAGATTGTCTCAAAAATAATAATCTGAGAAGTGTTTCTATTTTCAGCATCAGCGTTACCTCCCAGAAGCTGGACAAAGACCATGTACTGGGCCCCGTATTCCCATTTTTGTTTGGAAAGCTTAGCATCTTTCTCCCTGTCCATCCATGTGTGAGCACATACATGGTTGAAGGTGCCCCTGAAGTCAACCTCCCAACTCCCCCAAAAGTTTTCTGCAGGTCATTCTAGGTTTTGGTTTGAATGAACTTTGGGGTTTTTTAAAGACACAGTCTCACTCCATCACCCAGGCTGGAGTGCAGTGGCGTGATCTCCACTCACAGCAACCTCAGCCTGCCAGGTTCCAGCAATTCTCAGACCTCAGCCTCCCAAGTAGCTGGGATTACAGGTGCCCGCCACCATGCCCAGCTAATTTTTGTATTTTTAGTAGAGATGGGGTTTCACCATGTTGGCCAGACGGGTCTCAAGCTCCTGAGGCTGAAGTGATCCACCTGCCTCAGTTTCCCAAAGTACATGGATTACAGGTGTGATTCCCCCATGCCTGGCCTGAATGAACTTCTTTAGAGAGGTATAAAATGTTTAGAATTAGTCCCTGTCACATACTACTGGGAGTAAATGCTGTTTAACCTTGTGTCCCTCGCCAGCACGTTACAGAAGTGGTTTCTCTGTCAACATTTTCATTTTCTCTCATCAAATCAATGCTTAAGAATTATTACTGATTTTTTTTCTATTGCTGGTTTACGGATTCCTGGAAGTGATGGATTATAGATCACTTCATGTGACACCAGCAGTGCAGATCTTTATAATGTTACCAAATCATATCTAGGGTGTGGGTGAATGGAAGTCAAAATTCAGAACAATTAGCCCAGTTAATTTTTTATTTGAAAACCCTTTATTCCAAGATATTGTTTGATTGACGCTTGAAACATTAGACAGTCTTTATTACTTAACCCTAGGGCACTATTAAGAATATTCTAGCCAGGTGTGGTGGCTCACGCCTGTAATCCCAGCACTTTGAGAGGTCAAGGTAGGGGGATCACCTGAGGTCAGGAGTTGGAGACCAGCTTGGCCAACATGGTGAAATCCCATCTCTATTAAAACAATACGAAAATTGGCCAGGCGTGATGGCGGGTGCCTGTAATCCTAGCTACTGTGGAGGCTGAGGCAGGAGAATCACTTGAACCTGGGAGGCGGAGGTTGCACTGAGTCGAGATCACGCCACTGGACTCTAGCCTGGGCAACAGAAAATTCTAATCTCAATATGGGTTGACAATTAGTTTTAACCTTTTTTCTTTTTCTTTTTCTTTTTTTTTTTGAGACAGAGTCTTACTCTGTCACCCAGGCTAGAGTGCAGTGATTCTCCTGCCTCCGCCTCCCCGGTAGCTGGTATTACAGGCGCCGACTACCATGCCCAGCTAATTTTTGCATTTTTTAGTAGAGACAGGGTTTTGCCACCTTGGCCAGGCTGGTCTCCAACTCCTGACCTCCGGTGTTGGTCTCCAACTCCTAACCACCCCTGCGTCTCAAAGTGCTGGGATTACAGGTGTGAGCCACTGCACCCAGCTCTACTTTCTAGTTTATGATGTCAGTTAATTAATTGCACCTGAAATCCAATGACCTGAACATGGGGAGGGCGATGTAGAAAACATGGCCTCCATGTGCTCTCATCCTGCCTTTTTGCACTGACGCTTATCTTTCTGCTGTTGCTGGGACTGGCTTTGCTAAATTGTAGACGTAAAGAATTGTAGAGTAAAAAATAAAGGATTCCCATCATGATCAAATTCTGTGCTATGATCATATTTGGGAAGACAGAGTCTAGTGCCTCAAATGGCTTGAAGACTCGGGAATTCTCAGTTGTCCCCTGCCCCCATCCTGGTTCCTGTCTACCTTCCCCACTGCTCTACAGCTACAAGGTGGGCCCTCAGAATTTGCCATTTAAGTACCATCTAGACGGGATGCTGCATGATGGGCAAGACAGGGCTGTGAGGGCTGAAGAACCTTTTTTTTTTTTTTTTTGAGACAAGGTTTCACTCACTCTGTTGCCCAGGCTGAAGTGCAGTGGCGTGATCATGGCTCACTGCAGCTGTGACCTCCCAGGCTCAGGTGATCATCCCACCTCAGCCTCCTGAGTAGCTGGGACTACAGGTGTGCACCACCACACCTGGAATTTTTGTATTTTTGATAGAGACAGGGTTTTGCCACATTCCCCAGGTTGGTCTCCAACTCCTGGGCTCAAGAGATCTGCCCACCTTGGCTTCCCAGAGTGTTGGGATTACAGGCATCAGCCACCACACCTGGCTGAGAGCCGAAGAGTCTTGAGTGTCCACCGTGAAAACTGCTTCCAAGAGGATTTACATCAGAGCTTCCTTACTTTTGGCACAAGGACATATGTTTTTGTTTCTCTCATTAATTTTATGCAGCTCCAGCTCAAAGGATAATTTTTGTTTGTTTTCACTAGAATAAAGAAGATGTTTGCTTCATAGTCTTGAATAAAAAAGAAGGCTCAGGTCTGGGATTCAGTGTGGCAGGAGGGACAGATGTGGAGCCAAAATCAATCACGGTAAGTGACAAAGTCACGAGGCTCTCAGGAAAATCCCTCCTTAAGCAGCCTCAGAATGTGATCAGGGCGCAAATTCCAATCAGCAGGTTCACAGATTGCTGGGTTTCATTCCCTGCCACCAACATAAAAAGGGAAAGGTGAGAGACGTAGCACGTAAGGTTTTCGTTCACAAAGACAGGTTTTTTTTTTTTTTTGTTTGTTTTTTTTTTTTTTTTTTTTTTTGAGACAGAGTTTTGCTCTTGTTGCCCGGGCTGGAATGCAATGGCATGATACCGGCTTACTGCAACCTACGCTTCCCAGGTTCAAGCAATTCTCCTGCCTCAACCTCCCGAGTAGCTGGGATTACAAGCATGTGCCCCCATGCCCAGCTAATTTTTGTATTTTTAGTAGAGATGGGGTTTCGCTGTGTTGGTCAGGCTGGTCTTGAACTCCCGACCTCAGGTAATTCACCTGCCTCAGCCTCCCAAAGTGCTGGGATTACAGGCATGAGCCACTGCACCCGGCCAACAAGCATTTTTAACACAGAGCTGACACGATGTATAGGCCATTTCCAATATCTAGAAACACAATTTGCTATATCCTTATCATTTGCCTAAATATTTTTTTTTTGTTTTTTTTTTTGAGACGGAGTTTCACTCATGTTACCCAGGCTGGAGTGCAATGGCGCGATCTCGGCTCACCGCAACCTCCGCCTCCTGGGTTCAGGCAATTCTCCTGCCTCAGCCTCCTGAGTAGCTGGGATTACAGGCACGCGCCACCATGCCCAGCTAATTTTTTGTATTTTTGGTAGAGACGGGGTTTCACCATGTTGACCAGGATGGTCTCGATCTCTTGACCTTGTGATCCACCCACCTCGGCCTCCCAAAGTGCTGGGATTACAGGCTTGAGCCACCGCGCCCGGCTTGCCTAAATATTTTAAGCAGTAAAAAAAATTAGAATCAACTGGCCAAACTTGTGTTTGCTTATACAGTTATTCCTTTCTCAAAAACAGTCACTCATCATTCAAGAGCCTCCAGGACCATCTAGAGGGTCACCTTCACTGCATGAGCCCAGGCCTCGTTCATCTTCATATTCCCATTGCCTCCTGGATGCCAGACACATGTCAGACACTAATGAGAAGTTGAGTTTAAAAAAAAATGTGTGCAGTCACTGGCATTGATATTTGTGATCCATCCCCCACATTGAATTTTTTTTTAATAAAGCAGGTGTGTGTATGATTTAGAAAACTTGTCCCTAGAAAGTTCCTTTACTACAAGGCTGGGCGCAGTGGCTCACGCCTGTAATCCCAGCACCTTGGGAGGCCGAGGCCGGCAGATCACTTGAGGTCAGGAGTTCGAGACCAGCCTGGCACATGGTGAAACTCCATCTCTACTAACAATACAAAAATCAGCTGGGGGTGGTGGCACGTGACTGTAACCCCCGCTACTTGGGAGGCTGAGGCAGGAGAATCACTTGAACCTGGGAGGCGGAGGTTGCAGTGAGCTGAGGTTGTACCCCTGCACTCCAGCCTGGGTGACAGAGTGAGACTCCATCTCAAAAAAAAAAAGTTCCTTTACTACAGATATGCAATTAGTTACTTTCTCAATTTTACTGGAAATCATAAGTGGATCTGGCTTTTGTTCCCTTTTCCTTTCCTTGTCCTAGGTCCACAGGGTGTTTTCTCAGGGGGCAGCTTCTCAGGAAGGGACTATGAACCAAGGGGATTTCCTTCTGTCAGTCAACGGCACCTCATTGGCTGGCTTGGCCCATGGGAATGTCCTGAAGCTTCTGCACCAGGCTCAGCTGCACAAAGATGCCCTCGTGGTCATCAAGAAAGGGACGGATCAGCCCAGGCCCTCTGCCCGGCAGGAGCCTCCCACAGCCAATGGGAAGGGTTTACTGTCCAGAAAGACCATCCCCCTGGAGCCTGGTGTTGGTAAGATAATCATTTCAACAACCCACAGGGTGTGAGCTACTGCGGAAAGAGGAGGTTCTGCTTGAACGTGAAGGAAAATAATGGCTAAATTCTAGACTCGAAAAATTAAATGTAGCGAAGTCTAATGTGTTTGGATGCCTCTTGTAAAAGCAGCATTATAAATTAGAAAAATCCCCCAGTAGTTCAAGCTAGACTGTGGAAGATTTCAAACGACTACTTAGCAGTTTCCCTAAGGGTCCTAAGAATCTGTTTCCTATTCACACCCTCTTGTTAGGACTGGTAAGAAAAGCAGGAAACTATTGTGATGGGGGAATGAATCAGTGTTGAGGGAGAAGTTCCAGAACCAAGATTTATCCTTGGGAAACAGCAAGGTTGTATTCTTTCCTGGTTTAGAAGAACAGAAGGAAATGAAGGGGCAAGAGTATTTTGTGTCTGAAAACAGACACTGCAGCCTCAGTCAACAAGGGCTTACTGGAAGAGGTTTGGAAACACATTTTCTATGTACCATCCAGATTCAGAGCCTCAGAATCACGTGCAGCGTCTGTTTCTCCGGTGCTGGCCGTTTAATGCCCTGTTAAGTACCGCAGACATGTGGAGTACCATTCACTTTGGCGTTCAGGGGTAATGTCTTTTTTTAATCGAGAGGGCAAAGCAGAGCGTATGGGTCAGGCATTGCCTTTAGGGAAGGGCCTTTTGTTCTTTCTCCACATCTCTCTCTGATAAAGTCGGGGGTTACTGGATTCCTTTCTACAGCTTGGCTTCCTTGTGGCCTGAGCTGTTTATAGTCCTTGCTGAAAATGGCTCCGATTTCATGGAACAGATGAGGAACGCTTCTTGTCCAGATGCGTCCGCAGTCATGCCCCAGTCTGTGTCATTTCACTTTCCCTCTTCCAGAGGGCTGATGCTGTCCCCACTACAGGGAAACACCTTGGTCATCAGACCTTATCATGCTTGCCTTTCCCCTGGAACTGTCTCGACTGCTTGGTGGATTTTCAGTGGCATCCTAGTAAACTGTCAAAGGAAACCACTTGGCACTTAATCCTCACAGCTGCCAGTTTTGAAGCCTCCTGAACTCAGAACTGGATGGTCCTCCTGTCATTTATAGTCACTCAGTATTTCTGCAGCAACTTCAGGGCCTCTGGCCTCAAAGCAGACCCTGCAGAGCTATGAAATGCTGAGCACCTGGAGGCTTCACCTCGCTCAGATTCCTCTTCTTCAGTCTTCCTAAGCCAGGTCTACCTGGGCCTAGCAGTTATTCCTCACCATACAGTGACAGCGTCCAACTAGGGGCCTGGTGCAGTAGGCTGCACAGTAGAGACGCTGGAGTGCTTTCAAAGCCTTGATGCCCAGGAAATTCCCCAGCTCAATTAAATCAGAAATGCTGAGCGGTGGGAGCCATGCACCTTTTCACGATCCCAGGTGACTGCAGTATGCAGCCAGAGTCGAGCCACTGCAGTAGACCGTCTTCCTGTTGAAAAAGCATGCTGCTCCCAGCATTAGTCAGTGTCCTTCAGACCCTGTGGAGTGGCTGTCTTTAAACCACGACAATGGACTGGTTTTTATGTCCAAAGAAGACAATGCTAGCTTGGCCTCAGCCCTAGTGAACGCATGTGGTCCTTCCTCTGCATCCCAGTCAACTAAGTGTGCCTTTGCAGTCAGCTCTGATGTCCTTGGCTGATATGGCAGGTGAGGGAGGGAAGTACAAGCAAGTTTACAATCCTGATTCAAACCCAGCCCACCTTCCCCCAACCAGCACACACAGCAGGCATCACCATGGAAACGCATCTCCCCACCATGCAGCAAGATGCCAGTGGAGCCAGTGTGTCTGTGAAGACAGCCATAGCCTGAGGCAGGGTTTCCCTTTGCAGGAGCAGGAGTGGCAGGAGCCAGGGAGGCAGGAAGCTCAGGGTTCCTGGGGGCTTGGGGTCCATTCTAACAGTCTCACATGAGGCTAGGCATTTGTACCAGAGAGTGATGTTCTGCTGCCAGGGTTGGCAGAAAATCAAATTTGGAGTCCCCAGGTGTGACTTCAGTCCTCACTGACAAGTGCATTGCCAGTGTGGAGGTTTAACAAGAACACTTTGCCTTCTGGGGATTTCTGCTTGGGTATAAAAGCCTTTGCCAGTACTTGCAGAAAACACACAGAACAAAGGATGCAAGCACAGCAGTAACACAGCCAGGAGGGCAGCTCCAAAGCCGGGAGGCCAGCAGTGCTACTGGGCTCAAATGCTGTTAGAAGCACCTCAAGATAGATGGGACTCGAGGGTGCCAGGAGCACATGGGGCTCAAGGCAATGCCTCCAGGGGGACTGGGACAGGTGGCATGATGAACAACCTGTCATTTTTGTCTTGACACATGGCTGCTGCTGCAGGGAGAAGCGTGGCTGTACATGATGCCGTGTGTGTGGAAGTGCTGAAGACCTCAGCTGGGCTGGGACTGAGTCTGGATGCGGGAAAATCGTCTGTGATGGGAGACGGGCCCTTGGTCATTAAAAGAGTGTACAAAGGTAACATCCTAGAAAACCCAGTCAGCCTTTTATCACCCGTCATGTTTCCATGGATGTCTCAGTGAAAAAATCCATGCCTTCCATTTAGAAATCAAATTTGTTTTTAAAAGTCTGAACTGTTTTTAATGCTTTGTGACACATAAGGTTTATTCTGTATTGACACGTATCAACTCATGCCATCCACATGGCAACCCTATCAGGTGGGTGCCATCATTATCCGCATTTTACAAAAGGGGAAACCGAGCCACGTAGGTCACACAGTTGTAAGTGGGAACCAGGCTACAGCGCAGGCAGTCTGGCGCCAGAGCCTCTCTGGGTCCCTCTCTCTCATGTGAACACACCACACTAAGTAACACCATTAGACTTCCCAGTTAGGAGTACTGAATAATGGCCAAGATCTCATTGACTTAAAACTTGTAAATGCTAGACTGCAAGAAAGTAATATAGTCCAAGCATAGTCTTTGTGGGAAAAAAAGCAAGATGGGAGGTATTATTGACATGGTTGGTAAATACACATCTCTCTGTCAACTTGTATAATTCATTTTATGGTCTTGGGCAGTTTTCAAAATCTTAGATTAACTCATATGATTGTACTAATATTAAAAAGTATAATTGTATGGACAATATATGTAATTATACTTGCAAATAAATCAGAAACCATTTAAAGTTACAGAATGTGACAAAGTAAGTCAGCAAGTAACAAGGCTAATTCTTGGCTAAGGATTGTTGTTTCTTTAAATGACCATCTAGTTAGTTAATGAACTTGAGACATTTCTGCAATTGCATAGGAATCCCAAAGCCTCTCTCCACTCTTGACATGTGTTAATAGGAAAAAAAAAAACAACTTTATGGATCAAAAGTGGAAATGAAGCTTCTCTGGTCAGCAGGCTGCATCCTTGGGGTGCAGAGGAAGCAGAGGATGAGAAAGAACTCTGCACTGAAGGCTGGGGCTTCATGCCCACCCAGGAGCAGGGGCTGAGCACCCACGGTAGCCTGGGACTCGCTCTTTTGCCAGTGGACTGTGATCACTACAGGTCTGCTTTACTTGAGTGGCAGCCGGGACTTCTGCTGCTCCCCGCTCCTGGGGCAAGCAGAAGACAGGCATACATCTGGAGTCAGGTCTCTGTTATGTGTGATATGTGAACAAATAGTACCAGGGCAGGGTAAAGAGAAAACCTCAGACTCATCAAATTGACTGTTCAAGTTAGAACAGCAGCAGGAGGAGAACCAGGCTCAGGCAAGCACATGGCAACTCGACTGTAAGAGCCCTCGCAAGAGATGGCTCTTAGACTAAGGGGTACAGGGCAACATCCACTGCCACCAGACCTAACAAACAGGATGGCCCATTCACGATGGAGGCAGGAATGTTACCCATCAAACAAGACCAAGAGGGTATTCAGAAGGAGCAAGCAGATACGTTTAAAAAAAAAAAAAAGCTGGGCGTGGTAATGCATGCCTACAGTCTCAGCTCCTTGGACTGCTTGAGCCCCAGGAGTTCAGTACCACCCTGAACAGCAGAGCAAGACCCTACCTCTTATGCACACATCCCCTCATTAGTGAAAATGGAGTTAAATATATTTTTAAATTAATGAATAGTAAAAAGGAGACTAAATCCATGTGAAGACAATTTGTAAACACAGAAGAAACCATTAAAAAATGTAGTGTAGGGAAATAAAGAGATGATTACAAAAAGGTAATTGAGAGCGTTCCAGAAGGAAAAAATAGGATGAGAGGAAATATTTGAAGAAGTCGTGACAAAGACTTTTCCAGAAGTGAAAAAGTGACAAGACTATGCAGACTGAAAAACTCAACAGTCTGAATTTATTTAAAAAAAAAAAAAAAAAACCCAAGCCTTGTTAGCCAGGCAAATCACAAGGTCAAGATTGAGACTGTCCCAGCCAACATGGTGAAATCCTGGCTCTATTAAAAATACAAAAATTAGCCGGGTGTGGTGGCACATGCCTATAATGCTAGCTACTCAGGACGCTGAGGCAGGAGAATAGCTTGAACCAGGGAGTCAGAGGTTGCATTGAGCTGAGATCATGCCCCTGCACTCCAGCCTGGTGACAGAGTGAGACTCCATCTCAAAAAAATACACACAGCCAGGTGCGGTGACTCATGAATCATGGATTTCATGCCAGTATTTTGGGAGGCTGAGGTGGGCAGATCACCTGAGGTCAGAAGTTCAAGACCAGCCTAGCCAACATGGTGAAACCCATTTCTAGTAAAAATGTAAAAATTAGCTGCGCATTGTGGCGCATGCCTGTAATCCCAGCTACTCAGGAGGCTGAGGCAGGAGAATCGCTCGAACCCAGAAGGAGACTTATGTCTAAAAATATATATGTATAAAATGTCTGTTATATGGCAAAATGTATAAGCAAATATAAAAATAAGTGATTAGAAGATATTTGCAGTATATTTAATCAACAAAGGGTTGATATCCAGAATAGGCAGGGCACTGTGACTCATACCTATAGTCCCAGCACTTTGGGGACCAAGGTGGGCAGATCACTTGAGCCCAGGAGTTCAAGACCAGTCTGGGCCCCATGGCAAGACTCCATCTCTACAAAAAATACAGAAATTACCCAGGTGTTGTGGCACGCACCTATAGTCCCAGCTACTCAGTAGGCTGAGGTGGGAGAATCGCTTGAGCCAGGAAGTCGAGGCTGCCATGAGCCACGATTGTGCCACAGCACTCCAGCCTGAGTGACAGAGGGAGATTTTGTCTCAAAAAAAAAAAAGCGGAATATGTAAAGAACTATATAATTCAGTAAAAAAAATACAAAAGAAAATTTGGGTAAAGAAAACAAGAGAAAATTGACAGAAGTTAAAACCTAGGTGGCCAAGAAACACAGGAAGATGCTCAAACTTACATGTATCAAATGAAAAGTATAAATATGCTGGGTGAGGTGATCACACCTGTAATCCCAGCACTTTGGGAGGCCGAGGCAGGCGGGTCATGAGGTCAGGAGTTTGAGACCAACATGGTAAACCTCGTCTCTACTAAAAATACAAAAATTAGCCAGGCTTGGTGTCACATACCTGTAATCCCAGCCACTTGGGAGGCTGAGGCAGGAGAATCACTTGAACCCAGGAGGTGGAGGCTGCAGTGAGCCGAGATCAAGCCACTATACTCTAGCTGACAGAGCGAGACTCTGTCTCAAAATAATACATTAGAAATCATTCTTTTAATCTATCAAGTTGGCCAAAAATAAAAATCTCATACTATGATGTGTTGGCAAGGATGTGGAGAAAGGAAAGCACTCATTTTTTTTCTTATGCAAGTATATACTGGCTAATCTCTAAGGAAAATTTTAGCAGTGCTTATGAAAATGGAAGCTAAGAAACAATTTAAATTTCTATCTGCAGCTGAATAAAATATATTCATAAAAAGGAAAGCTAAATAGCAGTTGAAAAAATACATCTCTCTCTCTCTCATATATATATATATATATATATATATATAAGAACTGGGACCAGCTCAAAAACAGTGTTGAATGAAAAAAAAGCCAAATGCAGATTCTGCACTGTGTGACACCAATTCTCCATTAAGATTTAGTTTGGCCTCATGTAATAGGAAATCCAAAATAACAGTGGTTTAAATGAGAGAATTTATTTATCTCTTGTGTAAAAAGTCCAAACGCTGGCAAACGTTTGCTTTGTACAACACTGAATGTTTCCTAAAGGAGCAGTCCCCAACCTTTTTGGCACCAGGGACTGGTTTTGTGAAAGACAGTTTTTCCACAGTGAGGGGTCGGGCGGGGGATAGTTTTAGGATGATTCTGGTGCATCACATTTGTGTACTTTATTATTACATTGTAATATATAATGAAATAATTATACAAATCACCATCATGTAGAATCCGTGGGGGTCCTGAACTTGTTTTCCTGCAACTAGACATCCCACCTGGGGGTGGCAGGAGACAGTGACAGATCATCAGGCATTAGATTCTCATAAGGAAAATGCAACCTACATTCCTCGCATGCGCAGCTCACAATAGGGTTCATGCTCTCGTGAGAATCTAATGCCGCTGCTGATCTGACAGGTGGCAGAGCTCAGGTGGTAATGTGAGCGATGGAGACAGACAGGCTGTAAATACAGAGGAAGCTTCACTCCCTCACCCACTGCTATGCAGCCCGCCTGCTACCAGTCTGTGGCCCAGGGGTTGAGGAGCCCTGTCCTAGGGGGGTTCCCCTACTTCATCTCTTTCAGTCCTTCTAACAGCCTAGCAAGATAACAAGACCGATATCATCATTTTGCAGATGAGAAAATTGAAGTTTAGTGAGATTTGTAGCTTGCCTAAAGTTACAGATTTGAGACCAAAACCTAGTCCCATTGCTCCCTTGGTGTGTGTCACACTATTCTGGTTGGCTGGAACCCCCCCATGCCCTGAGGCCCACGTGAACACTCAAAATTCATTTGTTTCACCTAACCTGCTTGGGGCCTTTAGTTAATATGCTAGAACAGGGCAGTGGGTACATATATTAACACAAGTATAACTGGTTCTTTGGTCCTTCCAATAACATATCTCAAGAAAAGCAGTGACCGGGACCAAATCATTCTCCTGGGGCCCACTACGGGGCTGATATTGGCGAGATCTCTCTTCTACTATATCTGTCTCTATCATTAACCACGGAAAATGTTTTTGTCCTTGGGTGGGTTGGATTTCTTCCAAGCTGTATTTTAATTTTATCACATAATACTTGATTTCAACAGTGATTTTCAGTAATTTAGGATGAAATTGGCCAGGCGCAATGGCTCACGCTTATAATCCCAGCACTGTGGGAGGCCATGGCCGGCAGATCACCTGAGGTCAGGAGATGGAGACCATCCTGGCTAACACAGTGAAACTCCGTCTCTACTAAAAATACAAAATAATAATAATAATAATTAGTCTGGTGTGGTGGCAATCACCTGTAGACCCAGCTACTGGGGAGGCTGAGGCAGGAGAATCGCTTGAGCCCGGGAGGCGAAGGTTGCAGTGAGCCAAGCTCATGCCACCGCACTCCAGTCTGGGAGCCAGTGCAATACTCCATCTCAAAAAAAAAAAAAAAAAAAAGGGACGAAATCAATACATCTGCTCAGTCTTTTGAGGTCTAATCAAAATTTCTGAGATAATTTTTATTTTCACACTTGGGAATTTTTCTTTCAATGCTGATTTTTCCCCACGATGCCTCTGTAGCTGGTGTACCTTTCTTCTTCAGTGTCATTGTTCAGAAGTTTATGTGTGAAAACATAAATGGAGGGCTTCCACTTGCATTTTTTCAAAGCTCATACAAAGCTACACAAAGGTATAATGTGAAGATGCTGAGCTCTGTAAGTAGTCTCCAGGGTCACTGATGAGCACGTAAGCAATCACTGATTCTCAGAACTTGCATGTATCAGCCAAAATCTGTTAACAATTAGAAGCTGACAGCCTGGGCAACATAATGAGACTCCATCTCTACCAAAAATATTAAAAAGTAGCCAGGTATGGTGGTGTGTGCCCGTGGTCACAGCTACTCTGGAGGCTGAGGTGAGAGGATCACTTGAACCCAGCAAGGCGGAGGCTGCAGTGAGCTGAGACGGAACCACTCCACTCCAGCCTGGGTGACAGAGTGAGACACTGTCTCAAAAAAAACAAAAAAAGTTGAGCCTCTTTTTCTGTGTTTACTGGCTGTTTGGATTTTAGCTGTTGATTTCCTTTGCCCAACTTTGTGTTGTTGACTTGCAGTTTTTTAGTCTGGATATTAACCATTTGTTGATTAAATACATTGAAAATATCTTCCTTTTCTCGGTTGCTTATTTTTATCTTGCTTATGTTTGTGGGGGGAAGAGCTAGAGTTGAATTGTTTTATGTAGACCAGTTTTATGGATTTTTTTTGTGTTCTAAGAAACACTTCTCTATTCAACAATAATATATTTAGAGATTTTTCTCATTAAGTTTACTTAGGATTTTTGAATACTGTGAAACTGTCAAGCCATTATTCTGTGTTTATTCTCACAGGAGGTGCAGCTGAACAAGCTGGAATAATAGAGGCTGGAGATGAAATTCTTGCTATTAATGGAAAACCTCTGGTCGGGCTCATGCACTTCGATGCCTGGAATATTATGAAGTCTGTCCCAGAAGGACCTGTGCAGTTATTAATTAGAAAGCATAGGAATTCTTCATGAATTTTAACAAGAACCTTTTTCTCAGTTTTTTTTTCTTTAGCAAATCAGAGTGACTTCTTTAAACTACAGGTTCTTGAAATGGCCAACGCTGGTATAGACAAGAACTATAAAAATCTGCAAGCTTGTGCTTACAACACATGAAGTCTGACTTTCTATATGTGCAGCAGCAATGACATGAACTCCAGAAGCCGCCTACCTGGATCACCCAGGCCAGGAGGGTCCCTTTGTTCCAGTGCCTGTTCCCTACCATTATGTTTACTGATGGAGATACGAGATGTGACATACCCTTCTTTATTTGAAATACTTAGCTAGACCTTTGATTCCTTCTTCCCAACATACCCAATCCTGGTGATTAGGTAACTAAGAGTCTGAGGGGGACACAAATGTCACACCTAAGAGGACTATCATTTTATATGATTTTGTAAGTAAATGACAGAATGCTTTTAGGCACATTCAATGGAAGGAGGAGCTGCAGGTCTGTATATGTTACCCTGAAAAGAGAAAGAGACTTAAAAAAAAAAAAAATGAATTATGACCTGTTAGGCTGAGCTCAGGAATTATTCAAAAACGAAAAAGCAAAATAGAGTATTTTTTAGAGAGTGTAATGTATAACGTACGTATGCAGAGTTCAAGTCAATAGGTTACTGATCACCATGAAGTATTGATCATTTTCTATCTATCTCTAAAAGTGTAAGCCATAAGGCTGTTTTACAGAATAGCACTTCTGATAAACTGTATTAAATAGCCATGAGCTTCACTGCTTAGAGGCAGCAGAAAGGTCAGCATCTGAAAGCACCTTATAAGTAATTTTTGAACCTGTCTTGGTTAAGTTCTTGAATTCAAGACTGGTCAGTACAAGAGCAGGCAAAAATACCACAGTCACTGGGTTTCCATTTCTGTATTTGATGTACTCCAACCACAAATTTAAATTTTTAGAAATCAAGTATCTTTCTAAGTGTCCTTGGCTTTATAAACATAGACATTATATTTACAATCCAAATAGGGGAGCTTAATGGAATCCTTTGAGGAGACTGGTTCTTCTCTTTCCCAACATGTTTAGGAAATTCTAAGTATTGGATCTCTTTTCTTGACCTAGTATAATGGCAACTGCAGTGACTTAAGTTTTTGCTGTTTTCATTTTCCTGTTTTGCGATGTCCTCCTTTTGCCAAAAAATATTTTCCTGCAGAAGACTTGTGACTCACGCTGCTCGTGAAACTCACCCTGGCCACTCCTCCTCTGGCGGCATGAGCTGCTCCCCAGTAGCTATTCTCATTTGATGTTCTGTTCGTCGTCAGAGTTGGCTCTTTTCCTCTCATACTGTACCTTATTTTCTTAAATTCCAAACCCTCATCAGGTCATCAAGAGGAGGAACAACATGGAGAAACAGGGTGAGTCAAGGTAAGGGGGCAGAACTATGTAGTTACAAGCCAGATCTTTAGCGGCACAAAGCAACCCATTGAGTACTGAGAATATGAGTGGAGAATGCATTTGCCGTACCTGTATGCATGACACGAAAATTTTATGTTGGAGATACTTCTTTAAATAACTTGCAGTCTGGGTCTATGGCTATGACCCCAGATTCATGGAGGGGCTTTAGCTTTCAGCTTTGTAACATTTTTCTGAGTGATTAATCCCACTAAACATCTTTGAAGTTGGCCTGGAGAGGTCCTTCAGATGAGTGAAATATCTGGCTTGTCTGAGTCCAGATTTCTCATCAACCGGCAATACAAAGGAAAATATAGTACCGTAGTTAGTTAGAACGGTCTGATTGATTTAACTTCTACTTTTCACTACAGTTACAGGTAGGATACTGTAGGAAGTCAGTGCAAGGTGCATGCTTGATTGTTTTTTAAGTCTCTGGGGTCAGTTTTGTGGTTTCTGCTTTCTTGCCTTAAGACTATTTCAAGTCAACACTGAAAACTGCTTTTCGTCTCCACTCTTATAGCTGTGCCTAATAATAAGAAATGCACAGCCCTATGTGAACAAACAGGAACTTCTTGCGCAATGTGGAGCGAATGGAATGGCCTCCTTCTGAGAGTCCTTAATCCTCATCTCTGGAGTACACGGGCCGACCTCTGGCTTATTACATACATACACTATGCTAAAGTCATCAGTCACTTTATTACATCTTGCCAGAAGGTTTCCCCGGCCAGCAGTTGAAATTTAAGGGAAGAAGCAAAAGCTAAACTGTCTTTGACCCTAAGATAGAAAGCTATTTATTTGTCTTCAGTGTTCAAGGCATGACTAGTATTTCTAATTAGCCTAATTAATTCCCACACTTCCTAAAGTGAACACTAATGGTATTGTCCTACTAAAACTGTCATTGTTTTTTTTTTAAACTGGTCAGTCATTCACAATAAGCTATGAGGGTAAATATGTGTTATAACAAGTAAATCGTAGTTGCAAGAATATACCATGAAGATTAAAGTAGGTTGGGTTTCATTTCCATCTTCCCACACACATCTCATTGAATTTGATGGTTGACTTAATTGGCACCATAACTTTGTATGATATTATACATTATCCTTTATTTATGTAAAGTAAAATGCCTTATATATTAAAGAGTACGTGCAATAATATGAAATAGCCTGTACATTTAAAACATGTTGTCGCCAAGTTATATAAATCCACATCTCTGTAAACAACTTTTTAAAGTAATTTTAAAAAAATAAACACTCTGCTTACTACTTGATTTTTTTTTTCTATTTTGGCCATTATAGAGTATTATCGAGATAAGAAATGTGCATTGTCACCTAAATGAGTCAGGGGTACAAAGGCACTAGAACTCAAATTAGCCGTCCTTTTCCATGCCACACTCACAATCTTAACACAATCTAAAACTTTTCCACCTCAAAATCTTACAATTGAACGTCTTACTCTTTACTGTTTTGAGAGGGAGTCTCGCTCTGCCACCCAGGCTGGAGTACTGGAGTGCAGTGGCGAGATCTCTGCTCACTGCAACCCCCACCTACCAGGTTCAAATGATTCTCCTGCCTCCGCCTCTGGAGTAGCTGGGACTACAGGCGCACACCACCACATGCAGCTAATTTTTGTATTTTCATTAGAGATGGGGTTTCACCATGTTGGCCAGGATGGTCTTGATCCCTTGACCTCGTGATCCGCCTGCCTTGGCCTCCCAAAATTCTAGGATTACAGGTGTGAGCCACTGCGCCAGGCCAAATGTCCTACGCTTACCGCAAGCTCCCAGCCTTCTGGTCACTTCTCCCACTTCACTTTCAACAAGCCCCTGACGGTTTTCTCCCTGTCAGAACTCCACCCTTCCATTCCCTTCTCAGACTAGAACCCTAGCATAGCACAGCAATCTCTGCCCAGCGTACAGGCTTAGATCCCTTGCCCCACTGTTCTACCAGGCGATCCTGGATCTTTCCAAATAGCCAGCATCTTGGTGCCTATAACCCTAGAGAAAAATCCCACAACTAGACAGAATGCTGCTGCTGTAAATTCATGGATTCCAGCCTTAACTGGATCCTTGCTGCCACTCAGCACTTCTCGCCTTTTCAGTTTTTTCTCACATTTTTCACAATGACTAATGTTTGTTTTCTCAAAAACCATACCCATTCACCTTCCCCCTCCTACCTGGGATGATCTGGGATCCTACTTCACAGAGCCAAATAAAAAGCATCTATTTAGGTGCGTGTGTGTTTGATATGGAGTCTTGCTCTGTCACCAAAGCTGGAGTGTAGTGGCGTGATCTCAGTTCACTGCAACCTCCACCTCCCGGGTTCAAGGGATTCTCCTTCCTCAGCCTCCTAAGTAGCTGGGATTATAAGCACGCGCCACCTCGCCCAGCTAATTTTTGTATTTTTAGTGGAGACAGAGTTTTGACATGTTGGTCAGGCTGGTCTCGAACTCCTGACCTCGTGATCTGCCCGCCTCAGCTTCCCAAAGTGCTGGAATTACAGGTGTGAGCCACCGCACCCAGACTAGGTGCCCTGGTTTTAAGATGGAGATATTAACCTACAGTAGCCCACAGAAAAAGGCAAGATTGCATCTTGCAGAAATCCCAGAACAGGACCCAGCATGTGACCTGGCCTCAGACTGGAGGAACTCTGGGATTCATGGGTTCTCACCCAGCACCCTCCCCAATTCAGGTTTGTTTCTGCTGGTCACAGTATCCTAATCCCCAGTCCTCACCTGTTCTTTACCTAGAAATCGCCTATGAAGGTCATTTGTCCTCATTTCGGCCCCATTCAATATCACAAAGTTTCTCTGGACATACAAGATATTGCCTGCCTGATTTTCTATATACATCCTGAAATCAAAATTCTGATTGGTTCCCTCCTGCCTCTACTTGGGTAGAGCTTTTTCCTAGGAGACAGAGTTCTTGTTTGCATAACTCACCTCCGTGAAACTCAATGAAATGAACAAATACAGAGGGAAACTCTAGTAGTTTTAAATGGAAAATAGCCACAAACCCATTATATGAAATGGAAAACTACATACCAAGTATAAGATCTAAAACCAGGCCAGGGATGGTGGCCCACTCCTATAATCCCAGCACTTGGGGAGGCCAAGGCAGGCAGATCACTTGAAGTCAGGAGTTTGAGACCAGCCTGGCCAACATGGTGAAACCCCATCTATACTAAAAATACAAAAAATTAGCTGGGCATGGTGGCAGATGTCTGTAATCCCAGCTACTCAGGAGGCTGACGCAGGAGAATAGTTTGAACCAGGGAGGCAGAGGTTGCAGTGAGCCAAGAATTGGCAACTGTACTCCAAGCCTGGGCAACGGAGTGAAACTCCATTTCCAAAAAAAAGCTAAGATCAAACTGAAGGAGAACAATGAAATGAAATACAATTCTTGCTGAATGAGAGAGCATAGGTGGCATGAATGAGAGTTCTGAAGACCACCACCAAAATCCTTAACTTGGAGAAAGGGGACTACTGAGGTTGAGCCCTTTAAGAAGCAGGCTGAAGGCCAGGTGTGGTAGCTCACACCTGTAGTCCCAGCACTTTGGGAGGCTGAGGCAGGTTGATCACCTCAGGTCAGGAGTTCAAGACCAGCCTGGCCAAGATGGCGGAACCCCATGTCTACTAAAAATAAAAAAATGAGCTGGGTGTAGTGTGTGCCTATAATCCCAGGTACTTGGGAGGCTAAGGCAGGAGAATCGCTTGAATGTGGGAAGCAGAGGTTGCGGTGAGCCGAGATCGCACCACTGTGTTACAGCCTGGGTGGCAGAGTAAGACTCTGACTCCCCCCACCCACCAAAAAAAACCAGGCTGAAGCTGAACCGGAGTCATCTTCATGCCTCAGAATGGCAGGGAAGGTGAGATTGAAGAAGGGGAATCATTTTCATCTTCCCAGACACCTAGTGGTCAGTCTAAGCAGGCCAAAGGAGTAACAGGAAAGGAAATGGCCAGATTTGAGGGGAGCTCCCACCAGATAGGACCCTGATTCAGTAAGAGATTGGCTGCCCCAGCTCACCCTTGCTCCATAAATTCCATGGCCACTATCACTCCACATACCCTCCTGATCCCTTCAAAACAGCTGAATATCTCAAAGACTAAAATCAGCTAGTACCCAGTTTCCTTCTTTTGTCCTAAGAGATGATTTGAACAATGCTTAAACACAGAGAGCTATAAAGGATCCACCACTGACCGATCTTGAGCAAATGGCAGGCTTAGTAGAATTCACTTACCCCCATTAAATAATCAAAGTCAGCAAGGGTCCTACTTATGAATTCAGAACAGGTAAAGACAAGGGAGGAGAAGACAGGGAGTGAAACACAATTATGTGAAAGGCAGATTAAAAAAATATAACTTTGATCATGACTCAGAAAAAGAATTCTAAATACAAACTTTTGTCTTCTCAACGTACTTAAGTAAATGTGGCTTCTAAGAATCACAAGATTAAAAGAGCAGTAAGAAAACTTGATGAAAACAGATCTGGTAAACCAAACCAATCACCTTACCAAAAAGCCACATTAGAAGCAACAAGTCAAATCAAATTGTAGACATCTAAGTGACATTGAAGATTAACTTGAAAAATCCTGATTAAATGTTAGCTAATAGAATTCTGCAGTACATTAAAGAAAATATGCACAACTGATGTTAATTCCAGGAATATGTGAACAGTTTGAATTTAAGAAGCTATAGACATTACATTAACAAGACAAAAGAGAAAAAGAATCATCATGAAAGATGTTCACAGGCCGGGCACAGTGGCTCACACCTGCAACCCCAGCACTTTGGGAGGCTGAGGCAGATGGATCACCTGAGGTCAGGAGTTCAAGACCAGCCTGGCCAATGTGGTGAAACCCCATCTCTACTACAAATATAAAAATTAGCCAGACATGGTGGCACACACCTGTAACCCCAGCTACTTGGGAGGCTGAGGCAGGAAAATCACTTGAACCTGGGAGGTGGAGGTTGCAGTGAGCCGAAATCGTGCCACTGCATTCCAGCCTGGGCGACAAGAGCGAAACTCCATGTCAATAAATGAAAGAGGGAAAAGGGAAGGGACAGGGGAAGGGGGAAGAGGAAGGGGAGGGGGGTGAGGGGAAGGAAGATGTCAACAGACATGTTAAAGCCTACATCATGCTCTAATGGAGGAACTCCAGAAACATTCCCATTAGTCAGGAATACACATGCCCACGAAAAGTATTACTGTTGAAAAGCAATGTTCTGGAGGTATAAGTCAATATAATCAGGTAAAATTTTATTTTTTGTAGAGACAGGGCTGGTCTCAAACTCCTCTCAAGTGATCCCCCCACCTCAGCCTCCCAAAGTTCTGGGATTACAAGTGTGAGCCACTGTACCAGGTCCAATTATGTAAAATTCTAAAAACAGATATAAATAACAAAAGTATTATTATTTGCACATGACAAAACTTGCGTACACATAAACACAAAAGTTGCAACAGAAAAACTACTAAAATAGAATTCAGTATGGTGGCTACAAAAATTAACATCCAGCAAAACAATAGTTTTTCTATAAATAATAACCAGTTAGAATATATCATGGGAGAAATATTCCATTATTAATGCCAGCAACTGAAAACACAAATTTATTCTTAGCAAGAACTGGCAAGACCTAAAAATATTATAAAACTCTATTAAGGGACATAAGAGATAACTTAAAAGGGGGGAGGGGTAAATGTACAGCTTATTTTTTTGCGGTGGGGACATAGTCTTGCTCTGTCACCCAGGTCGGAGTGCACAATCTCAGCTCACTGCAACCTCCACCTCTCGGGTTCAAGTGATTTTTCTGCCTCAGCCTCCTGAGTAGCTGGGATTACAGGTACACACCATTGCACCCAGCTAATATTTTTTGCATTTTCAGTAGAGACGGAGTATCATGATGTTGGCCAGGCAGGTCTTCAACTCCTGACCACAGGTGATCCGCCCACCTCGGCCTCCCAAAGTGCTGGGATTACAGGTGTGAGCCTCCACACCTGGCCATGTGTATAGCTTATTCTTGGACAGGATGACTCAATACTATAAAGATCTTAAATAAGTCCAATCATAATCTCAAATTTTTTAACTTGACAAAATTATCCTGAAGTCCATCTGGTAGGATAAATATGTAAAAATAGCCAGAAAAGAATTTGAAAATGCAGAATAAGAGGGGAACTGGCCCTATTAAAATATTATCAGAAATTTATTATGATTAAAATGGTGGCTCCTGTGCTCTAGAACTAGACAGGCAAACCACTAGAACACAAACCCAAAT